ACAATGGCGGAGAAGTTACGACAGAACTGTGACAGAGGATGCCACGGAAAAAGAAGAGACCCGTGTAACGGAAGATGCGAAGCATGCATGGAATGCCGGAGTACCAAAGAGCGGCACAGGTAAAGGATCTCTGAAGAGACGTGGAAGAGCAGCGATGGGGACACCAGCAATCGTACATACGGACGGTGTGCGTATGCCCATCATAAGTGAGGAAGACTACCGACGTGGCGGAAGAATCACATCTGGAAGAATCACGCAGGATGTGGTGATAAGCGATGAAAACTACGTTCGTGGAATGGAAGCCCTGGGAAGAATTGTTTCACCGGAAGCCCAGGAAGAACCGGAAAAGAAGAAGGAACCGGAGATGATTGAGTACCGTGGAAAGATGATAAGCGTGGAAGAGATGGGGAACAAGATGCTATCCCCAGAGGCACAGGAATCGTATGAAGAGTATTGCAGACAATGCAATGAGATGTATGAAGCGTCAGGAGAACGCGCGCAAGGATCGGATATCCCGATGGATCTGTTTGGGAGTCCGAAGCAAGTAGTGGATCCCGGTACGCCGGACAGTACGGAGGAACGTACGTTGTTCGGAAGTCATTAAGCCCTACATCGTGGACGAGTATGAGACAGAGCAGTGAGTGTAGGCAAGACTGAAAAAGTTTCACCCCGGAACGCACAGCAGCGAAAGCGCAAAAGAAGGAAGAGCGCTAACGCAGGAAGTTTGTTTGGAAGTTGTTTCACATGGACGAAGTACTTGTTACTGTACGAATGTCAGGACATGGACCGTCTGACACACCTCCCTAATTGGGGGACGGTAAAAGGTGGGTTGCACGGAGTGTTTAACCCAAGGACTCGCAGTGGCAAAGCCTATGCAGTCACGGGCGGAGGTATGCCCGACCGCGGACCGATCGAAGTACAGCACAAGGACTTCGAGGCAGGGTGTTAAATTCTGTACATAGGAACGCCCCACACCTTTGGTGAGCCCAGGCTACGGTATATTTACTTGCAGCGCCTTTTGACTCAAGCAGGAAAAGCGTGACCGCTCAGGGTTTTACAGTTTAATTGCACGCCAAAGCGATTTTGGACCACGGCTCATTTCTGCTTCCGACCTGCTGAGACCGACCGTCGTCAAGTGGTTTGTTGAAAGGCTGATGTCGACTACAGACCACAGTTCTTGATGCTTGAACCTCTTACGGTTCAACACTGTTTTGTTTATGTTTTTTGGCGATGATTCGTTGTTTTCGCCAGGAATTGAACACAGCCACTGTCATCAAAACCCGCCCAAGCCAAAACCGCCATTGGCATCGACCTGTGCAGCCACACATGGCGGCCGGCCACCGTGTACTCTGCACTGACGCTGAACATGACTTGCAGTCGTTTGAAGAACACCTTCTTGTGCGAAGAAGAGCGGCAGCAAGAGGTGCCGCGCGGATGCTTGATTGAAGTCTATATACAGTTGTCATCAATGCTGAAGTGCTCCTGGAATGCAGGCAACTCAGCTGGGCCCGACGCCACATGCTTGAAAAACGCCGTGGCGGCAAGCCCAAGGCCTGATACCTGTAGGTAGAGTCTCTAGCAAAGACACTTTGCGCGTTAGTGGGCAGCTCGGTGACAAAACTACACCGACCTGCTCCGAAACTCGATCGCTTGCGGCTCCTGCCTGACGGAGAGAAGCTCCATAAAGATTTCGGAGCCGGTGTGTCTTTCATCGACGAGGCTTGAACACCCAAAAAATGATTTCGTGTGTTTTGTGCGCTTCCAGTGTTTGCGAAGACGTTTTTGCGATGTTTCAATGTTTCATTGTCTTTTCGTTGCTTCTAATTTTCCAAAGCGTATTCATGTGACTGCTCATTTTTGTTTATGTGTTTAGCGTTTGTCGTTTCAGTTCTCCAACTCTGAAAAGCAATCTTGCAAAAATATCTCTGCGTCAGAAACATTATTACACATTGTGGAACAGAAACCCTGAAAGTTTACGCATCGTTTCGTGTTTTTGTTCACGTATGTTTTAGAAGGCATGTGAATCTATAGCACATCGCAGCACTGGCTCTAGCACTTGAGTTTTCTCGAAAAGCGAGATCTAGCCGTAGCTACTGCCCTGTAGCTTGCCTGTCTCTGCCTTAGAGCGAAGCCATGTTGCCGGCACATGTTGTTGTGCCCCTTGCCACGTTTCAGTGGGAGCTTTATCAAGCCCCGCCTTCGCCCAGGCCTTCGCCTTTGCCTCCGCGGTGGATTCGTCCCCCGGACTTTGCCTTTGCCCCAGCACGTCTAGCCTTGCATGACTGGGATTGGTACGTTGTTACGTTTCAGGAATGTTTCGCTCTGCAGCCGCATGAGGGCCAGCCTCTAGAGCCCTGCCTCCAGGAATGCCTTTTCTCCTGGACTGTTTGCCCTCGCATTCTTATTTGCCTTCAAGTTCATGAATGGCTGCCTTTGGTCCTAGCCAATGATGAGTGCCATCAGCTTATGGTTGAAATGCTATTTTGACCCCTGCCGCATCTCAGGTATCCGCCGGGGCCCCAGCCATGCAGCCTTCACAGCCCGACCCCTTGTTCCTTCCCTTGCGGATTTTGCCGTACCACTGGCACTGGCCAAACCTCCTGGATGCCTTGCCTCTCCCAGGTTACATGGGACAGCCTCACAGCCCTTGCCTGCAGGACCTCCTGCTATCAGGTACGGTCGGGCCGCGCCTCCTCTTGTTTGCAGGTGGGCCTTCCTGGCTGCATTTAGCCCTGCTTTCTCAAGAGACGCATGAATATATCGTTTCGCATTTGGACATTACCGACTAGCTGCATCCTAGGTCTGCCGACTACGCCATTGATGCCCACAGAGCCTTCTGCCTCTGCCTGGCTCGGGCACCGGCAGCCGGAGCCCGACTCTGAGCTTTCACCGAAAAACTTCCCGCACTGCGGCTCAGCCAGCCTTTGCTCAGCCAGCAGCTCAGTCTCAGCCACAGCCTGCCTTTCTGCCTTTGGGGGGGGGATACCAAAGCTACCACTTCCTTCCCCCCGCGTACTTTGAGCGCTTTGCTCTGTCCCCTCAGGCCTCAGATGCAGCCAGCCAGGATAGTATCTGGATAGCCCCCGAAAGCCCGCCACCCTCCACCAGGTCGGACTCACAGGGGTCCAGCCTTGACTCAGCCGTGCCAGGATTACGCTATCGCCATCCGTTGCCTTGGAGCCCTTTCAAGGTTCCACTGCTCTGGCTCCTTCAGCCGCCCTTCTGCAAGGTACTTTGGTTTCCTACCAAGGACCTGCGTGAGCCTTTTCTTGGCTGGAGCCTTGAAGGCCTCCTCTTTGGGGTTGCACCTTGTGCCAATATTCTTTTGTTTGCCAGCTCATGCCAGGAAGTCGTTGCCTTCTTGGAGGGTCGGGGCACTTAGTAAGTAGGTAGTAGGTAGACTTATAAGTACCCTAAAAGGGACCTTAATTGGGGTTATGGTACTTATAAGTCCCCAAAATAACCAGTTACTAAGTCCCCCGACCCTCCAAGTTGTGCCTTTTAAACAAGGCATGCCATGATTATATCGCCGAGCGCATATCCAAGGCCCGCGGCTGATATGGCCCTTTTGCCTTACACCCCCGGCCCTCAGCTGGCCAGCCCTTTGCGAGTCCGGCACATGGGAGCCTATGCTTTGCTGTCTCTCAGGCATCTTCAGCAGACTGGCCGTTGCAGCCTCAGCGAGCACAGGCCAACCCGAAAGCCTGTTAAGCCAAGCCGTTTTCTGAAGCCGTCTATGAGCCCTTTCTTGCAGCTGGCTCTTCTCATGCGTGCCGCCCCTCCAGGTTTCTTCGAACCCCGGCCCTCACCTCAGCCTCCTAAGCCAATTCGGGCCTGCGCCAAGATGTTGGTCAGAGCAGGCCTTCGTTGTCATTCATGCTTTCAGATCAAGCCGCTTCTTCTGCCTTCAGGTCAGCCGACATCGGCCCTGCCCTCGGATTCCCCGGCCCTCAGCTCCTCATCTTTCGATGGCCAGCCCGATTCGGCTGATTTTTCAGGATCTACTTGATCCACGCTTGCCCTCGGTCCGGGCCCTGCCTGCCTTGCAAGCGGTCAACTGCAGCCGGCATACATAGCTCTTTCGGCTAGACAACATGCGGGGGAATCAGCAGCCCCGCCGCCAGGATCAGCGCGCACAGCGCTCACCCTGGCCCGCCTTTGCCAACAGCCCTGCTCTGCAATGGAATCAGGGCCAGCCGACTGCCAATGTGACCAACCTCTCAGCCATGGGCCGCATGAACGCGGGCCTATCCGGCCCCTTAGCCTTCGACCCCGATACCAGCTCAGCTTATGATGCTCTGCAACCACAGCCTTCCACTCAGGATTTCAGCCAAGAGCCTACCGACGAGCCGACTGTACAGTCCCTAGCCGATCGCCTTAGATCTTTGGAAGCTCGCATCGGCATTCTGGAAGCCGACCGACGCGGTGCACAACAAGCCTTGTGGCATCATAGCCGTCGCGCACATGAGCAACCCCGCCTTCGATGCTTGCTCTCGCCATGGGTTTTTCTCAGTGCCAAGGTGGACGCCGTCAGGATACGCCTGGACCAGACCTACGCCAGGGTAGCCGGCTTGCTCCTGACGCTTCAGCAAGCCTTCCCTACGATAGCGGTATACTTCACGGAGGCAGCCGTGGATGCTTGCCAATATCAAGGACCCGCAGCCTTGTTGGACTCCGAAGGAGATCCCGAAGCATAGCCTTTTGCATCCAGCCTTGCTCGCCTGCCAAAAGACCCCTGCAGACTGGTCATGCCGACTGCACGAAGCCTCACCATGATGCCCCTGCTCAGGTCCAGCCTCTTTCAGGCCCGCTCTTTTCGTCACAACCCATTGCTAACCTCCATGCCCTGAGCCAGGTCACAGCACCATAGCCGGTGGAAGCCACAGGACCCGGATGTGCATCCGCTTCATGCCAGCGACCAGCCTTGCTCAGTGTGCCTCTACACATCCAGAGCTCTTTTGTTCACAGCCCCCATGGGAGCTTCAGCGCCTTCCAAAGCCATGGCATCCGACCACGATGCCTTCGCCAATTGGTTGAAGACCCTCGCCCCCGAGGAACTAGCCAAGCTCAAAGCCGCGCATTCTGCATCCGCACAGGCGGCAGCCGACACAGCCGTCCAGGATGACGCTCGGCCTTGCGATAGTTCTTCCAGCCTTTCCCCACGTAGCTTCCTTGTTTACCAAAACCAGGAAGCCTTCTATCATGCCCAAGACGGGTGCTATACAGGCCCCATTCCAATTACGTCCCGCCTAAGCTGCCGACCCTGCCCAGCCTTCTCAGGATCACGGGGCCCAGCCTTCTCAACCTCCCCATGGAAGAGCCTTCGTCATCCACAGCCTTCCACCCTCTGGCGCCGTCCCGCCTCCCACCAAGACCTCGCCGGCATCCTTCCCAGCCGCAGCCCTCGGCAGCAGAAGCGCCCGCCCGATTCCCTCAGAACTGGAAGCCGCCAGCACAGCAAACATTCTTGCCCGACGCAGCCAAGGCAGACCCGCCGACCAAAGCCATCCCGCCGCCCAAACCTAAGGCTGCGGAGCCTGGGACGACACAGCCAGTTTATCCCCCCCACAAGCTCCCCCCTGCAGCCAGGCACAGCCCACACCGACGGCGACCGCCACACCGCAGAGCACACAGCCCTCCCCAGAGCCTGCCTCCAGCAGTACCGACCAGGCCCCGCACTCAGCCTTGCATAGCCAAACGCCGGAAGGAATCTTTTTCGAAGCCGAGTTCATGGCTTCCGACCACAAGCCGTCCTACTCCGGAACGAGCGGCCACCCCAGCCTTTTGGATTAGCCGTGATCTGGGACTCCCGTACATGGATCAACTTCTATGGCGGGGAGCCCCCAAAGACAGCCGTGGAGATCGACGTTGAGACCCACTTTTACACGGTAGAGCCAGGATCAGCCTTCGAGCCTGGCCAGGAGGAGGACTCCGAGTCCTCCGGAGCGCAAGAGGACCTCCCGCCTTGCCCACCGCTCCCGGAGTGGTATTCGGCGGATACTGGGGTCCTTCGCTACTGGCACTTCGGTGCCACGGGCCAAGCCAACCCCCGCCAAATGGGGAAGCAGTCGGTCCCGGCCCTTTGCCTTCAGGACCTGAAAGCCCTCCCAGAGCCTTTGGTCGACAAGCGGAAGAACATCATCATCGACCTCTACAAGCCGCCGGCCCTGGCCCTTCCAAGGCTGCCTTGCCCTAACATGCGCAACTGCATCATTGTCCCCAGCCTTACCTTGCCGCACACCTTCGACCTGGACCCAGCCTTCGCCAGGATGTATTATATGGGCAGCAGCCGTGGTGAGATGCGTTGCGGCCTTCCCTGCTCGACCGTGCCTTTCTGTCCTTACCATTCAGCCTGCGGACGCGAAATCACCGAAGGGACCGTCGAGCATAGGGCATAGGGACAAGCACTCCGGCCATCAATGTTCGCGCTGCAAAGAATTTACAGACCTTGGTCGCAGCCCTTTCGAATGGTTTTCCGCCGTACCCCCGCAGGCCTCCTTGGGGTAGCCGTTTGCCTTCGCAGCCTTATACTGCCTTTTTCAGCCTTGTAAACATTTCTATACCAGCTAGCCTTCAGCCACGTTCTATGCGCAGGCACACGGCATTTTTTGCGCCGCACGACCGCCGCCATCGGCCCACAAAAAGAGTGCTCTGCATTCGGGGTCTCCGCCGATCGTCTTACGTCGACTGTGCTGCGCTCTTTCAAGTCCCGACCTGCAGGACCAGCCTGGCCTTTCAGCGGCGACTCCAGACACAGACCCGGACGACCTTAGCAACCTAGAATCATGGAGTCCGGTCAACAGCCTGCACAGCGATGCTCAGCGAACAGGAAGGTCCCTACCGGCGCCATTGTGGGTGCTCTCGGGGTTTCTCCACCCGGACGAAGATCAGCCTACAGCCCACCAACCATATCGCAGCAGGAGCCCCAGCCGGGAGAGCCGGTTCAACACAAGAACGGGCCACAGTGGTCCGACGCTTTCGCAAAGACTCTTCTGCCTTCGCTTCAACAGTGAACCCTATCCGCCCTATCCCGCCAGGAGGGGTTGAGAAGCACGTTCTCCTCCCCCTGCAGTCGGCGCCCAAGACACGGCCGGGCCTGCCCCCTCCAGCCCTGCCGCCGCATGCGCCCGGCCCCGCCTTTCTCAGTCCTCAGCCTTATCAGACCTCGCTCCTTGCAGGTGCCTTTGCCCTCAACGCTGCACAGGCGCGCGCGGTTCCCCGGCTCTCAGCAAAGGGGGGCTCCACCAACCGCCGGGACCTCAACCCAGCTGGAGGGCCAGCCTTCTTGGACTCAGCCACTTCCACGATCTGCCCTCTCGCCCTGCATCAGCCCCGAACCCGATGCGTCACACTCGGTGGCCGGACATGGTACAGCCACTGCGCCCTGGCGGCAGGCCCACTCAGGTTACCAGGAAAGGCCAGGAGGCTTCCAGAAAAGCCAAAGCCCTGGAACAGTGGAAGGAGCTTCTCTGGCTCCTCGGGGACTCGGCAGCCTTGTACCGCAGCCTTCAGGAAGCCAAGTATTCGCAACAGCTTCTCGCCCAAAGCATCATGCCCTATACTGCCGGTACGCTCGAAACCTACTTGTCAGCCTGCAGACAGTTCATTGAATACCTGATCCTCAACAGCCTGGAAGTCAGCTCGGTCTCCGTAGCCTGCCTTGGCGACCTCCTTTGGGCATGCAACTCCAGCCTCGAAGAAGATAGAGAAGTATGCCGCACCGGACCCAAGCCAATGATCAAAGCCCTCTCATGGCTAGCCAAAACCGCCGGCCTAGCCCAGCTTGCGGCTGTGCTGTCAGACCGCCTTATCAGGACCTTTACGGCTCAGACCGACACGGACAGGCGAGAAGCCCTGCCTCTGCCACTTGCCGTGGTCGTCGCCTGGGAACGCCGCATATGCCAGGAGGAGTGTCCCACAGAGCTTTGCCTTTTGCTAGGGGGATTCCTGCTAGCATTGCACGGGGGCTTGCGATTTGGGGATCTTCAGCGCATCAGCCTTATAAGAGCCTCTCCCTCACAGGACATAGCCTTAGAGCGGTTTGCTGGCATACGAAAACCACCAAGCGGGGTCAGCCTTTTGCTGTTCGCCTCCATGGAATTTCCGGCCGGGACCCGACAGGCCTTTGGGTGCTACCTTTCCTCAGAGCCGTCCAGACAACATGGGAGCAGATCTACGGCACCCACAACTGCCCCGACTTCATTCTGCCCACCCTTCATAACCTAAGGGGTTTCCCAGGAAAGCCAGTGGCAGCCTACCACCAGCCTATGTCGTACAGCCAAGCGCTAGGGTGCCTTCGGTTCTTCATGTGCCGCAAACATCTGGAAGGCAACTCCCCGGAGCTGCTCACACCGGAAGAAGCCTCCGCCTTCACCATGCACAGCCTCAAGGTTTGCCTGCTCAGCGCCGGTGCACAAATCCAGGCCGCAGATAAAATACGCCAACAACAAGGCCATCACAAAAACCCTAGCGTACAGCTTTACGGGAGAGATGATACCCTCGGAGCTCTAGCCCTACAAACCGAAATCACCCAAGCATGTGCCTCAGGGAGGCCGTCGCGCCCAATTGCCAGGGGAGGACAGCACCCGACAGTGGAGCCGCCTTTTTCAGTCACCTCGTCACCGCCACCTAACGCCTTCCAGCTCTCAGCCCTCGGAAAGGGCCTAGACAGGTTCATCTACTCACGTGAAGCCGAATTGGAGCAGGTCACCGCGGAAAGTGCCGATACTCAGCCGATACCGAGCACTGAGCCATCGGAGCAGAGGACACCCGGGGCCAGCAGCCTCCCTCCGACCATACCCGCAGACGATATCGAGGCCTTGCTAGTGGAGAGTTTTGCGGCTTCACAAGCCGACTCATTCGACTCGGAGGAACAAGCCACCCTGCCGACAGTGGAAGACATAGTCATCTTCCAAAGCGGACCATGGGGATCCGTGCACGCACAGCCGTTGGGAGCCGACAAAGCGGCATGCGGGACGCCCCCCCCCACGGCCGCCTTTTGCCCTACATGTCCCAACACAGCCTTTTTCTGCCGCAGAGCGGCTTGCCGACGCCTGCTGGACGCACTGCCTTAAGGAAAACGCGGGAGCGTCGTTGTGCATTTGCCCGGTCAGCCTGATCTTTTGCCATGCCATTCCTACCGCAGCCGTTTAGGCTTACCCCATCAGTCGCAACTAGACTGCCAACGATTATGGCGCTCCTTGAGCAATCGGAGCTCACAGCATTCCTGCAAGCGCAGGGGGTGCACGAAGTAGTCTGCAACGGCTTGAGACAGTTGAGGACCTGGCATTTGCCTACCCAGACCTTACTAGCTTTGACACCTTTCTGCAGAACCTCTCGGAGTCGGACCTCAGCGACATGGGGGTCTCAGATGCACTACATTCGGTCCAGGCAGCACGAGCCAGGAAAGCCTTGCGCTCAGCGCACAAAGCACAGGAGGGACCTCAGCCCTCATCTGCCATACCATCCCTCCCAGCAGCCCTGGCCCCCACGACCTCACCATCCTCATGGATGGAGCATTTGCCGCCTAAGCTCAGCTCGGAGGTCGTGCAAGATTTGGTCACGACCTTTAAAGCCAACTATCCCGGAGAGCTCCTGGACGATGACACCATGCCATCAATCCGCCTCCTTAGCCTTGTGCAACACAGCCTTCAGCCAGGAGAGAAGCTCAAATGGATCCCATGGCAGCTTCGCCTCAGCTCCAAACAGTATTCTGAAATTATGGAAGCCAAATCATCCAAGCCCATGCGGACCGAAGCACAGCTTCTGGCCTCAGCCATATACGACGATACGCCCGAGATGGCTGTCTCCCACCTCCGCCTTTCGGTGTCTTGGTTACAGCGCATCCAAACAGTGTTCCGAAACGCTTGGGCACTGTGTGGAGCAGCCCACCTTAACAACCTCAAAGCCTTTGACAAGCGAGTCGAGCACTTAGCCTTGCCGGATCTAGCTGACTTCTCCCTCCGAGGCCCTACAACGCAAGAGCTCTTGACAGCCGATCGCAAGATTTGGAATACCATCTCAAGCCTTGCTGCATCTGGCTGGAGCCTTGATGAAGCCTTATATGAGGTCACTAGCATTCGAAGTGACCTCGCCAACTTGCTACAGCCAAGACCTCGGCCGCCTACACTGCCAGGTCCCAACCGCCGTCCCAATGGGGGGAACCCGCCCCCCCCGCCAAGCAAAAGAATCCGCCTTAACACGCCAACCACCGAAAAAGGTGGAAAGGGCCGCGGCAAAGGCCTTCAGAAGCCAGATAGCCCATCTAAGTCTGAGTCATGGCCCTCCAACTGGGTGTTGAAGGCCAAGGGCAAAGTGCTCTGCAAGCGTTACCAGAGGAATCTCTGCGCCTTACCCAATTGCAAATTCGCCCACCTCTGTGCGGTTATAGGGGCTGCGGCAAGGAGCACTGCGCCGTCGACCACGACAAGAAGCCTTCGTGACTAGGCCCGGCATCAGAGCCCCAGACGCAACAGCAGTTTCAGCCTCCTCTCAGCACGGTACCCGAAGCCTCACAGGTTTCAGCCATGGAGCAGCCTCACCCAACCGGGAGCTCACCGCAGCACCCGTCGCCAACATCCCAAGCCACAGGCCCACAGCAGCCGCATCCGCCTCAGCCAAGCGTAACACGCAACCCCGGGGGTCCGGCGGGACGACGGTTTGCCAACCCCGAGCCGATTCAAAGGCCATAAGCCCCCTGTAGTCCCCAGCCTTAAGACCCTAGCCGTTTGCCCATCCATCCCCATAGGCTCCACCTGCCTGCCCGCGACGCCAACGTCTGCGCCATTGACCTATCGCAAGAAGACGGCCAGGAACTGCCCGACCTTCTCCTTCAGGCGATTTGGTCACGGGTGGTTCTAGGCCTCATTGCAGACCTCAGCTCACTCGCCCCACACCTCGACGAAGCATGCGCCTTTTTGCAAGCCATCCGCTCCTCCGGAGCATCCGCCTTGCTATTTCTGCCGGCAGATCATTTCCTCTTCCAGGCGCCACCGTTCTGCGAAGCACTTCACGACGGGGGGCTCTTTCTATGCCCGGAACCAGATGCAGAGAGGATTCTCATAACCACAGCTCCCTTGCCCACGTGGCCTTGCGTCGACCCGGGTCTTGCAGCTCTGGAGGCAGCGGGAAGATTTGCTGCCATGCCACTCTCTACCACACCAGCTCAGCCTCCAACTCTAGCATCCGCCCTACAATGCCATGGAGAACTGGCACACGACAGGGCCCCCATCTGTGATGGCGCTGGTAACACCAGCTCCGCGGACTGGAGCCGACCTCAGCCGAGCCCTGCAGCCATGCAGGACATTATGCAAGCCTGGCTCAAATGGGCATCCCAACGCGACATGCCCAAACGAGTCTTTGCACACCTCGCACAAAGCAAGCCAGATCACCCCATCCCAGAAGAAGACCAACTTGAGCTCATTCGGATAGCCTGCGAGGTCATGGAATGGGACTACGACTCCATGACGCAAGCAGCCGAAGGACAGCCCTTTCGCCTTAATCTTATGCAAGCCTTTGCAGACCTCCTCAACGACCCAGACAAAGATCTCCCAGCCATGTTACGCGTGGGGGTACACACAGGAGTCTTTGACCCCATTGAGCCCTCAGGGCTTTGGCCATTAGCCAAGATCCAGCCTCTGGCCTCATCAGGATTGGAGGTATGTGAGGGGAACTGGAAGCCAGCCGAGGCAGACCCGGATACAGTACGAAGCCTTTTAGCAGACGAAGAAGCCGCAGGGTGGATACAACCCGTGCCAGGCGGCCTTGAGGAAGCCAAGCAGCTTTGGCCAAAGGGCATCGCCGTCGGCAAGCTCAGCCTTGGAAAGGCGGAGAACAGAGACCCTCGACTTGTTCTGGATAGCACGGTCTGCCAGGTCAACCCCATGTGCCGCATCGCGGAAGCGGTTTCAATGCCTACCGTCAACGATGTCCGGGCTACCTTCATGCCGTCAGACCCGCGAGGGTCATTCCTTGCAGCAAGTGTGGACTTCAAGGCAGCCCACAAGCGAGTCAAGGTTCACCGCTCTGAACAAGGCCTACTTCTCTTCATGTTCGAAAGTATCCTTTACAGATACGTGGTTTGCCACTTTGGGGCGAAGTTTTCAGCCTACTGGTGGCAGAGAGTCGGAGGCCTTATCACTCGCATTGCCCACCACGCACTAGCCTTCGCCCCGCACAAAGCCTGGCTTTATGTCGACGACCTGCTTTCAGCTTTACTCCGCGCCTTCGCGCCAGAACTCTTATTCCTCCTCATAGCCACACTGTCAAGCCTTGCCGCGCCAATTAGCTGGAAAAAGGCCTCAGTCGGGGACAGCCTGGTTTGGTGCGGTTGGCACTTTAATTTTCGCCTCGAAACTGTCGAGCTTTGCGAGACCAAACGAGCTAAGCTTTGTGGTCAGCTCAAGGCCTTATTGGCATGCAAAAAGGTCCCCAGGAAAGACCTCGAAGCCTGCATAGGCCTACTCATGAGCCCACGTAGCGCCTTTATACAGTGTCCTTAACAGCCCTCCAGGCAGCAATTGCTCTATCTCTCCTCGGATGTGGCCAGCCTTTCTCCACAGCCTCGACTCCAGAGCCGTCATCTGCCGGCTCATACCAGGAGTCAACCTGCCGCTTAAGGCCCGGATCATCGAGGTCGGCAGTCGACCAGTGCACTGCAAGGCCGACCTCCCGCCACAGCCTAAGTCCTCGGGACCTACTTGGGTCCGTATCTCGGACCCCACTTGCCCAGAGATCGAGCTGACCAACACGGCCCAGGACAGCCTACGTTGGTTACTGCCACGCATTGAAGCCATCCCGACAACAAGCCTCTCACTTCCGCCCCTTGTCGCGTGCCTAGCCAGAGCTGACGCCATGGCTGAAGGGGACAGAGTTGGCATCGGGGGATGGATCACCACCAAACACAGCATGGCCTGGTTTGCCGAAGCCTGGACCATGGACGAGGTGAGGAGCACATGGCCTTTTCTCACCAAGGATGCCCAGAAATACATTGCCTGCTTCGAGACGCTAGCTCAGCTTGCACTTGCCATGACAGCCCGAGAACGCCACGCCTTCTCGCAGTTTTCGGTCTGCTTGCCATCGCAGAGCGACAACACGCCGTCAGAGGCGGGCATCAACAAGCTTTTCACAACCAGCTGGCCCCTCTCACAGTTCCTACAGCTGATAGCTTCGTGGTCATCCTGCCATGGCGTTGACCTACAGGTTTCTCACGTTGCAGGAGCACACAACCAATGGGCGGACGACCTCAGCCGAGGTCGGCTTCAAGCCTTCAGCCACAGACCTCAAGAACGAGTGCGGGTCAGCCTTTACCGACTTGCATCTGCGGCCTCCCAGGCCACCTGGTCAGGACCCCCAGACACAACAAGCCCTCTGTTGCCTAGACCAGAGTGACGGCTGCGCCGGGACCGACTCCAGCCCGCCTCGCCGAAGTGAAAAAGAGGACCGCTGCCTTCCCGTCTGTTTGCTCTGCGACACTTTTCCTGCTCCTTGACCTTGCTCTTCCTGCCGGCTCAGGTCCAACTCCACCGCCCGCGGTGGGGGATACTTGCCTGCTGCCTTACCGGTTGGATCTGTCCCTGAAGTGGGGGAGTTTATGCCTTGGCTAGCCGTCTAGACCTTGGCACCTCCGGGCTAGCCGCAGAGCCTTACAGATCCAATACGGTATAAAAGATGGCAGCAAGTGATAGAGCAGCGCAAGCCTTTCTAGAACGTTTCGTGTTTTTGTTCACGTATGTTTTAGAAGGCATGTGAATCTATAGCACATCGCAGCACTGGCTCTAGCACTTGAGTTTTCTCGAAAAGCCCCACCCGCCCACACCTAGGTTGGCTTTCGGCCCAGGCCTCAGCCTTCTGTCTGGCCTTTCTTTGTTCAGCCGTCTAGCCTCCTGCTGCAGTCCCACTCAGCCCTGGCGACTCTCAGTCCAGCCTTTGTCCTACTTGGCCTCCGCGAGGCCACGTGCTCGCATAAGTCGAGCGTGCTCCTCAGCCACGAAACGCCTGCCACAGGTCCTTTCGTCTAGCCTTAGTTTGGCCTCTTCTCCGCCTTTGACTCAAGACAACTCTAGGTACTAGGCACCACACCTTTCGGTTACCCGCCCTAGACCCCTGCGCCCAGGTACCTTCTTCTTCCTGCTCGACGAGGTCTTCTGACGCATATGTGACGCCGTTTCTGTTGACCAAAGTCTCACGGAGCTCGACACTTGCCCGCCCCGGGCAAACCGGCTTGCCTGCAAGCCTAAAATTGCCGGCGCTATCATCTGTTCTAGCCCACAGCCTGTTTTTCTCAGCCACTGAGATTCACCACTTGGCTCTCCAGGAGCCTTCGTAGTGGCCTTCTAGAAAGTTTCACTGACTTCTCACGAAGACTAGCCTTGGGGGAGTTTATGCCTTGGCTAGCCCTCTAGACCTTGGCACCTCCGGGCTAGCCGCAGAGCCTTACAGATCCAATACGGTATAAAAGATGGCAGCAAGTGATAGAGCAGTGCAAGCCTTTCTAGAACATCCAGTGTTTCAAAGGCCAATACGTCACCAAATCATCCCGCTTAGAAAAAAACATTAAAACCAAGGCCTTTCTGTTCGTGGAAATTGGCTTGTGACGGCACAGGCAGCTTAGACGGACCATCCCGGTGCTGGACTGCATCCAAGAGCCTTGGACTGATCTGCTTTCTACATAGTCAGCTTGGAAGATTTCCTTGTTTTGGCTTCAAAACAAGTTGGAAACATCCAACAAAGCAAGCCAAGCTTTATGAGAGCACTCCAGATTAATTATTCTTATACGCTGTTTGTCCGTTTGCATTCAGTGTCAGAGAGACCGTCATGTGAGATGCAGTGAGCGGAAACTAGTGTTCGCGTTGTTATTATCCGCAGTTTGTGCCGAGGTGCTTTTCGTGCTCCGTAGCATGCGCATGTAAGGGCACATGTCATGCTGGAAATTGGAAATCGAACCAATTTCTACACACACATGTACATATATTCATACTCGTTTGTTGGGTTTTCTATCTCTTTGCCCATACAAACACATGTTACATCTGTATATGTATTTTTTCATTAGTATTGAATATTTGCAGTTTCATGTGTATGCGTTGGCATATACTTATGACCTATCGTTTTATGATCTCTGGCTGCGAAGCCAAACAATTGGTTTCGAAGCACATTGGTTGGAAGTGGCTTGACTTTTTACTCTGCATGTTTTGGCTTTTTGTACGATCAGAAGAAATGCGCCGTAGCGGGACACCAGCCCAGCTGCCTCATCCCTAAATTTAGTGTCCGTGGAGTTTGGCTTCAGTTCAACTGTTTGAGTTGTTCTGTTCGCTGCATTGAGCATGTGTGCATGAGCCGGTTCCACAGTGATTTTGAACTGTCCCTGAGAAAGAAATTCAAATCTCTCAAACGAGCACGGAGCGGATGCTGTGTGGATTCGCGTCGGTGCCTTCTACTTGTATTGAGGTTCCTCGATTTGTTTTATGGCAGTTGGCGAAAGAGGGCGGAGCTTTGCCGGTAATTGCCGGTACTTGTATTCAGAATGCTCCGTGGAAAGGACATTGCCATTGTCGAACGTCATGTTCAGGCGCAATCTAGTCACATGAAGGACTTTGAGCACAAGTTGTTGTGTCTGACCACCGATCTCATCACGCAACAAGCTCCACAACTGCGCAATGCAAGTTGGCACGATTCGAGCAGCAAAGCAGATGTTGTTGATCTTTCGCTTGACATTTGCAGGCGATGTCAATGTCTCTTGCTGAATGGGTATGCAACTTGATGTAGACGTCCTGCACGGCCATCCATTATTTGTGCAGGTCGATATTGCTTTCAGCTATCTTCCTGAAGGCATTTGAACAGTCAGCAGCAGCTGCCACCGCAGTAAGAATGCTTATTGAGACGGCAGCCGTGTATTGCCATGCAAATGAAATTTCGAGTGGCAGCTGCAGCAGTCTTGTGCGTGGTTGATGCAGTACTTGAAAATTGAACAGCCGATGCGCCGGATGAAGCCAACATTTCTGTCAACCACACGATTGAGCTTTCAATGCTAGTAATTTGATGATGACGAAGCTGGTGGCGATGATGTCGATGAAACCTATGACTACAATTGTGCTTATGATCATGTTCATAATGTCTGGCACAGCTGCACTTCGAGGTCGCTAGTGGTTTCTTCGTATGTTGCGAGTATGTCGCCAGGAATTCTTGATGTTTTCAAAGTGTACGTGGTTCCTGCTATGTCCGCCTTTTCTCAAGGTAAAGTGGTGCAGCGAGCAGAACTCTTCTGGTAGCCGGGGGGGCTTTTGTCCAGCATCAATGGATCGGATCGACAAGTCCCCGCCCAGGTTTGCGGACATGGAGTTCACGGATGCGTCGCCTACAAGAGGCCGATACACTTTCTGGGAGCTTCATCGAATGCTGGCGGAATGTTACGAGACGGACGTAGCTACCAGCTCAATTGCTCCCGGACGAGTCAGCTGGACTGAAAGGAGCAACTCCATTCATCGCGGGAGGAAGGGACGCTCGCACAGCGTCAAGAGGGACAGAAGGCCGTCACTGGAGGTAACGGTGGTCCACCCGCCGAAGCCGCCCCCCCCGACCCAAGAGCTTCCGCCTTCCCCACCCCTAGATCCGATCCTCTGCCAGTCGGTAACTCCAGACAGTTCCAGTGAGAAACCTGCCAATGCTGCCCGCAGAAGCTTCGTCCAAACGCTGCGCAGCTCAGCTTGATTTGCAGAGGTCTTTTTGTAGCGTGATGGCTTTGCAATGCAGAAATATGGAAACCAGAAAGCCTGCAGCATAGATTGTACGGTGCAGGCAAGCCCTTCGCCCGACGTGAGTTGCTTTCACTCTTGGTCTGAAACACCCTGACAAAACGACCCTAGCGGCGTCAGGTGATACTACAGAAACCATCTTTTTTTCTACAGATCCTCATTATCGTAACGTAAATTAAATCCCTTACTTGCAACAAGAACCCAGGTGATCTGCATGGGTTGGGAAGCGGAGACAATGATGTCGACGTGGCGAGCCTTCAACTGCACTGCCATGACTGCTGGCAAACCCGGTTGGAGAAGAAGGCCAGAAGTTAGATCTCGGGAGTTTAGGGTCGAGGTTAGGGGTTGGGAGGTTTTATGGGCTTCATCCATCTCCTTAGTCAGACCTTTTTTGCATGTCACATCTGTAGAATCGTCCCTCTGGTTGGCGATCTATCTGTCGGAAGCCTCTTTGTGCCTGGTTTACGATCAGTTCATACATAATATAGCCTCACTCGAAGCCTGCATCCATTGAAGCCGCAGTAAAGCTTATCAGCGACCAACATGGGCAACGTCGGCCTCGGTATACATATCACCTAGATTCAGATGCTTGGTTAGAAGCTCTGTGTCCGGCACTTCAAGCCTTTCTATATCGGCTAGCATAGACCACGTCACAGAAGCAAGGATAATAAAGTGTGAGAAGGACTGCTACTGTCTGGGTCATTTTGGGTCCTTCTAAGAGGTGTCTGTCATTCAGTGGTCTACGCATGCGTATTGTCAAGAGCAACAAAGACCACTCTGCCACCTCAAAGAAATCCTTTCAAAAGCAACGGTGCAAAGCGAAGTCTCGATGCTCCAGAAAGATTTTTCACGCAGGTGGATATGCTTGTACTTGGAGGTTCATGGGACTCTTCAGCAGGCTTAGCAGTCGGTTCAGGAGGTGGCCGGTTGGCTCAACATGACACACTTTAAAGACCAAAGACTACCCAGGAATAGGTTCCTGGAGATTCGTTGAGCCACGAGTTCGCGGAAACATCTGCCGTAGAAGCCATATTTGGAACCCCCTTGAAATCCAGTTGTGATGATTCGAAATCGAGGATAAAGTATTGTCATCGAAACATACTTGTGGGAGCGAGTTGACGCTCGAAAGCTGTCGGTTATGTGCAGTCAAAGTCAAAGAGCCTACGGAACGGGACAAGGTCATCACCACCATGCGGTCCCAGTTTATCTCCGCGGATGCCTCGTACCAGTCCTCGGCACAGTCCCACATCGTGGCTGTTGACACAGACTCTGACTCCGAGCTGGATATTGGGTGTTCTTTCTTGTTCCAATCTTCCGTGACCTACAGGATTCTTCGAGATCTACCCGCTAAGCCTTAAACCCTAAGTTTCACTTGGACGAGTTCTGTTACCCCTTCAAAGCCCACCTGGGGCCCCCCCACATAAGTTCTTGTCCGAGTGTTTGGAAGGATTCTTCGAGATCTACTTGCCTAACCCCTAAACCCCTACATCCTAAACCCCTGAACCCTAAACTCCAAGGAGCCCTTATAGATCACTACTATGTATGGATGAAGCAAGGACACGAAGCCGCGGACGCGGGCCTGCATGCTCCATCCCAGTGGCGGCCTCCGCACTTCTTGGAACCTCCTGGTTCCCGGCCGGGGTTCTTTGATGGGTTGGGGGTTCCTTTCAGGGGGTTTAGGGTTCCTTCATGTTAAGGGATTTAGTTAAAGTAACCATGATAGGGATTTTAGTAGCAAGCCCCTTCACAAGATACAGAAGCTCAGGGCACAGGGCTGTTAGGTTCGCGGATCATGGGGCTTTGGGTTTTCAAGGTGTAGGGGTCCCACTCGTCCCACTCTCTAAGCTAGCCGTCGTCGTGGTCGTTGCGAAATAAGGATTGTATCAAGAGAAGCAGCATGCACCCTACTCGTCGTACTCATTTATGAATCCATTTGTTTGATGCTGGAGTTGGCTATAGATGGCAGTCACGAGTGGCACTGAATGAGGGAGCTTAGACTGGCGATTCCAATAGCTTGGCCACTGGCAAAGGAAATAGTGAGTCACCTGGCCGTGGGAGCGCGATTAATCAAGGTATTCGTTTTGACCTCGCTGCAAGGATACTGCAGTAATTGCGACTTGGACTAGGGCTGAACCCTAAACCCCTAGCCTCAATACTAAACCATTGAACCCTAAGCTTTTCTGGTAGCACTGGCTCCGCTTTGAGGTGGCTCTTTGCGTGCTGTACGACCTGTTGGTCATCCCTTTGGCGGTGTTTGACCTCCCGGAGAGCTCTCTGTCTCAGGCATTTTAGGGCTACAGTGTCTAGAGCTTAGGGTTTAGGTTTAGGGTCTAGGATTGTTCGGGTTGCGGGGTTGGAAGTTTCGGGTTTGGAGTTGAGGCCGGAAATCCCCCTGGCGCCACGCAGGTGCAATGCGCAGGTAGTGACCTCTCGACGCTAGCCCTGTCGTGTAACCACCGTTGTGTGCATCTCAAACCCCAAATACCAAAATCCCGCAATCAGAGACGTTGAACTGAATTCCATTTCATGACTGCTGAACTGCATCCAAGCCTGCCGTGTAGGCCCTGGACATTGGCATCCAGGCGACCGTTTTGCTCAAGTGGGGTTTGTGCTGTCAATTCCGGAACTTCTATACGTCTGAATGGTTTGAGTATTCTTGAAGACTTGGCACCAATTTCAGGGGCGGCAGCAACGAGACTAAGTTCAACTTTAGCAGCACAAGCAACACCAACAACAAGAGCATCAGCAACAGCACGAGCAACAACTTAGCCGTATCGGCGACATCAATATCAATGCCAGTGCCATCATGCCCACAGTCATGAGCACAAGCACCAGCAGCGGCACAGCAACATCTGCTGCTCACTACAACCCGACTACCACTACCACTACCACTGGTACTAGTACTAGTACTAGTAGTAGTAGTAGTACTACTACTACTACTACCACTACCACTACTACTACTACTACTACTACTACTACTACTACTACTACTACTACTACTACTTCTACTACTACTACTACTACTTCTACTACTACCACTACTACTACTACTACTACTACTACTACTATTACTACGACTACGACGACTACTGCTACTACTACTACTGCTACTACTACTACTGCTGCTACGGTTGATGATATAAACCCTGCATTACCTGAAGGACCCTAAGCTATGAGAATTTTGGTGTATTCCTTATTGTGGGTAGTGCAAGATTTCTATCATCAACTGTAGTTCTACTACGACTACTGCTACTACTACTCCTCCTGCTGCTGCTACTACTGCTACTACTGCTACGTACTTCTACTACTGCGACAACAACAACTACTACTACTACTACTCCTGCTGCTGCTACTACTACCACTACCACTACCATTACTACCACTACCACTACTACTACTACTACTACTACTACTACTACTACTACTACTAAGGGTTTCGGCTGGAGGCGAGCTGTCAGGTAGGGTCCCTTTTGAACGTCTCATGGCTTTCTGGATCGTTCTGCTTTTGGACTGCTTCTTTCATTCTGCAATCTTCAGCTCGGGCGCAATGCCTCAGCCGCTGGGGTCTCAATTCCCCAGGCCTGCGACCACTAGCAACGTACATTCTTCTATGACTTCGCAGGTAAACCCGAGGGTTGGATCTTTATCCACACGAGATCCGGAAGTCACTACGGTGGCGAAAATTTCTGGAAAGGGTAGCCACACAGCTGCTCCATTTACAGACTCGCGCAAGCGCGCCTTCGGGCCAGGCGACGAGCGGAATTAAAGGGTGGAACTATTTACAAAGGCCGGTGGCACTCGGCCGGCGATCTGGGCACCACGGTTTCTAAAGAAGCGGCGATGACTATTTCTCCCAGCAGGCCAGCGCGGCCTATGGCTGGGCGACGACTTCGAGTTCTCACATACAACATAGGAGGTTTCTGTTCAGCCTCATATGATGTTTTCTGCGACTGGCTTGTCAAGCAAGACCTTGCTGAAATCGTCATCATACAGGAGCTTCACCATGGATGTGGTAAGAATGAAAATCGCTGGCAGATTGGATCCTGGACTGCCTTGATCAGCCCTGACCCCAAGCAGAGATACTGTGGTGTTGGGGTTTTCGTCAGCTCCAAAGTGGCGAGCGATGAACAGATTGGATACAATGTAGTCATACCTGGCCGGCTCTTGCATGTCCGCTGTGAGGGACAACAGGTCACAACTGATGTGGTGGCTGGCTACCAGCATGTCTGGCAAGATCACAACAGAGAAGAAATCGCTCGGCGACGAGGTGTTTTCTGGGAGAAGCTAAGCAGCCTCCTGCATACTCTGCCAGTTCGGCACCTTTTGGTACTGGGAATAGATCTTAATTCCAAGATTCGGAGTCAACCAGGCCTCATTGGGCGTGGAGTACTGAAAGGAAACCAGGGCTTTGATCCAGAACTGGAAGCCGTGCTGGAAACTCATCAGATCACACTGCTGAATATCTGGGGGCGTTCTTCGACAGGTCACGCTCATACGTTCTGCAATGGAGCCACCAAAACTCAAATGGACTTTCTTGCGACGCGTCGGCTGACCGTAGATCCTCAGGCCAAACAGGCGGCGCCGCAAGACCTCTGCCTGACTCCCTGGCGCCTTGGTCCACGACATCGGCCAGTTTGTGGTAGCTTGAAATGGGTCGCTGGTTGGACGTTTGCAAGCAACGTTTTTCTTTAGACACTATGAAACAGCACCTTAAGCTTGGTACTCCTAAGGCCATTGAACTTCAGTCTGCTGTAATAAACATCGTGACTGCTCACACAGGCTCTGGGACCCTAGCACAGGTCAATCGCGCACTTCTGCAGGTGTGTCAGCGACTGTTTCCGAAGCAGTCGTCATGTGCAGTGCGTCCGGGCCGAACGGAGACCGTCCAGCAAAGTATCCAGCTCATGCGGCCCTTCAACAGCCAGTTGAGGGTCCTCTGTTTCAACGTAGTGCTGAGCTCGTGAGGCGCCGCCTTCGGTTTCAGACTAGAACTAAAGAGCTTAGAAAAGCCTCTAGAGCTGCTCGGAAACAGTGGCTAGTTGATCTTCTGCACGAGGCCGAGGAGGCAGCTGCTGCGCACAACCACAGTGCTGTCTACCGAGTCATAAACACCATAGCCCCCCGTAGGAGAAGAGAGCAGGTTCGCATTAAGAATGCCAGTGGTCAGCTCCTTACTAAAGGTGATGAGTACAATGAAATCTACCAGTACTTCAGCAAAGCCTTCTCTGCCTCGGAGCCCTGCCATGCAGATACCGGAGCTGTGCTAGTGCCAGACGTTGCAGAGCTTCACACTGCCACGCTTGCTTTGAAAGGTGGCAAGGCAGTGCCACGCCAGAGCATTCCTGCGGATGTTTGGAAGCTGTGCCCGCAGCACTTTGCAGAGTTTCTGGCTACTACTTTAGGTAGAAGCAAAGCTACACAAGTGCCTCCTCCATCTGAGATCGCCAATTGCGAGTTGTCGCTCCTTCCCAAGCCAGGCAAGGTCAACCGGCGACCCCAAGACTTGCGCCCGCTAGGCCTTCAGGATCCTAGTGCAAAGGTCTATGCTATCGTACTTTGGGAACGCTTGCTAGCTATTACGCATGGACGCATACTGGCCAGCAATCAGCATGCCTACTGTCCTGGGAAGTTTATTGACATTGCCATAGCCAAGGTTTCGGGCTTTTGCTCTGACATACGCGAGCGGGTTCGGGTTGGGGTACTCAACGTGCATCAGAAGCGAACTGGACAACGGGAGAGCACTTGCTATGGAGGTGCCATGCTCAGTTTAGATTTGAGTCGTGCCTTCGACTCCCTGACCCGACAAGCCCTGGAGTCCTCGCTCCGAGCATCCGATGTGCCCGACGATCTGTGCCAAGCCATTCTTCAGGTGCACAACCACTGTTGCTATACTGTCCGGCATCACAACTATCAGGGACATTTTCCTCTTTACGGCCTTTGCGGATGATAAGCATCTTGCTTGGCGCGTGGAAACGCTGGAGGACCTTTCCTTCATGTGTCACTGTGTGCGTGTCACCTTCGAGCTGCTTGCTGCGGACGGTATGCAGGTCAATTCGACCAAGTCCAAACTGGTCCTATCCCTAAGAGGGAGTGCTGCAGCGCGTTGGGTCCGCAAACACAGTCCCAAAACGGATGATGGTGTCCTTGTCAATCTAGGGCCTCCCCATAATCCCATTTGGGTTCCTAAGGTTTCCTCCATAGTGTACCTTGGCATAGTGGCATCCTTTCATGGCTTCGAGATGCAGACCCTGCAGCACCGTGTCCAGGCAGCAGCCCAGAACAGACACAGGCTGCTTAAAGTCCTGCACATCAAAATCCTCACAGTTCATGAAAGGGTTCGACTTTACGGTGCCTGTGTCAGGTGCACTGTTTTACGGTTTGCACGCGACCGGTCTCACGGCGGCAGCGCTTCGTAAGTTGGAAGCCTTCGACATTCGAGCCTTACGTGCCATAACCAAATCCCCTGTGCATCTCACCAAAGAAAGCAACGAAGCTCTCCGATCCAGACTCAGAATCCGTTCACCTACGCAATGCCTTCTTAAACTTCTTGACAAACGATCACAGGTTGTTTCTGAGGCTGATAGGCCCTGGTTCCAGCTGAAGCGGGCCGACCTGATTGAAGCTGCCAGTGCACCGTCAGAGTCGACTGAAGTGCATTTATCTGCGGATGGAGTGGCAGGCGTTCCCTGCCCGGAGTGTGGTGTTGTGTTCAGCAGTCATCGAGTCCTGCTCTCCCATAGATCTAGGTGGCATGGTATTACCAAGACTAAACGTCCCAAATTACCAGCCCAAACACACATGCAGCACTCCGTTGATGGCATGCCACACTGTCGTCACTGTGGTCGTCAGTTTCAGCGTTTTGAAGGCTTTCGCAAGCATGTCGAAGGAGCCTGCCCCGTCCTCTTCCCCCCAAGGCCTGTCAATCCTACCAGTCATGACATGGAGTCTGCGTCTGGTGTTGAAGTGCAGGGAGCTTCACACCAGGAGGTGCCCATAGGTACGGTGCCTCACGCAGACTTCTCGGGTGCTCCGGGAATCCTTGTGAAAGATCCTGAGTTTCGAGAGATGTCGCTGAAGCAGTGGAAATCTGTATTGCAGCTCTCAAAACATCGACAGCAGCTTGGTGCGCACTGCATTTTCTGTGGTCAGTGGGCTGCAGCCAGCGGCATGAAGCAGCATATCCGTCTCGCACATTCTTTCACGCACTCCTTGCATCTTGAATCTGTGCAGCGTTGCACTCCGCTTGGCTTGACAGCAGACAGCCCCTGCAAATACTGCGCGACAGCTCACGCCCAACCGCGAAGGCACTTGCAGAGCTGCTCAGCTGTTTACCAGGCATCCCTAGCCAATCTCTACTTTCGCTCACAAAATTCGCCGTCTGCTGCTGAGGATCAACATGGGCGAGGAGAACCGACGAGCGGTGGCTGCGGACGAGGCCATGGAGGTCTTCGGAGGCCTAGCTGCACCGTCGCAGGCCAAGGAGGCCGATCAGACCCAGAAGGACGCCAGCGTGGAGAAGGACGCGGACTGGGACAGCTGGGCAAACCGCGACAGGTCCAAGTTTCAGCGGAAGGGCGAGTCGGCGGGCAAAGGAGGCTGGTATTCGTGGGATCGCCAAGCCAAGAGAAAGGAGCCGACGGCAACCTCTCAGGACGAGGCGGGACAACTGGATCAGGCCACGCAGCACCTGATTCAGTCAATGACCAAGTTGGTCTTGCGACACGAAGGGGAGTTAGCTCACCTCCGGCGCGAGATGGGGTACATGATGTTCGTGGACACCGAGCAGTACTCCTGCCTGGAAACGCTGAAGCAAGCTGCGGTGAGGTGGCAGGAACTGTATGCGAACAACAAAGTCACCTCGCCTCTGGGGCTGACGTTGATGTTGGGCCTGGTTCAGACACTGCGGACCAAGCTAGAGGAACTGCTTCGGGACGAACAGCTCCTTCAGCGTTACAAGAACAGCGGATGGATCAGCGATGGCGTCACTGCCCTCATCCCGATGTGGCACTACTTCGAGTGGAATCCCACCGACAAGAAGGAATTCCAGTCAACGACCCCCCCGCTTTCGCACAATCGTGTCATGGAGATTCTGGAGGAGGTGTTTCGTGTTTTTGTTCACGTATGTTTTAGAAGGCATGTGAATCTATAGCACATCGCAGCACTGGCTCTAGCACTTGAGTTTTCTCGAAAAGCGAGATTTAGCCGTAGCTACTGCCCTGTAGCTTACCTGTCTCTCCCTTAGAGCGAAGCCATGTTGCCGGCACATGTTGTTGTGCCCCTTGCCACGTCTCAGTTGGCGCTTTATCAAGCCCCGCCTTTGCCCAGGCCTTCGCCTTTGCCTCCGCGGTGGATTCGTCCCCCGGACTTTGCCTTTGCCCCAGCACGTCTAGCCCTGCATAACTGGGATTGGTACGTTATTACGTTTCAGGAATGTTTCGCTCTGCAGCCACATGAGGGCCAGCCTCTAGAACCCTGCCTCCAGGAATGCCTTTTCTCCTGGACTGTTTGCCCTCGCATTCTTATTTGCCTTCCAGTTCATGAATGGCTGCCCTTGGTCCTAGCCAATGATGAGTGCCATCAGCTTATGCTGGAAATGCTGTTTTGACCCCTGCCGCATCTCAGGTATCCGCCGGGGCCCCAGCCATGCAGCCTTCACAGCCCGACCCTTTGTTCCTTCCCTTGCGGATTTTGCCGTACCAATGGCACTGGCCAGGCCTCTTGGATGCCTTGCCTCTCCCAGGTTACATGGGACAGCTCACAGCACTTGCCTGCAGGACCTCCTGCTATCAGGTACCGTCGGGCCGCGCCTCCTCCTGTTTGCAGGGGGGCCTTCCTGGCTGCCTTTAGCCTTGCTTTCTCAAGAGACGCATGAATATATCGTTTCGCATTTGGACATTACCGACTAGCTGCATCCTAGGTCCGCCGACTACGCCATTGATGCCCGCAGAGCCTTCTGCCCCGGCGCCGGAGCCCGACTCTGAGCTTTCACCGGGGGCCTCCCGCACTTCGAATCAGCCAGCCTTTGCTCAGCCCACAGCTCAGTCTCAGCCACAGCCTGCCTTTTTGCCTTTGGGGGGGGGATACCAAAGCTATCACTTCCTTCCCCCCGCGTACTTTGAGCGCTTTGCTTTGTCCCCTCAGGCCTCAGATGCAGCCAGCCAGGATAGTATCTGGATAGCTCCCGAAAGCCCACCTCCCTCCACCAGGTCGGACTCACAGGAGTCCAGCCTTGACTCAGCTGTGCCAGGATTACGCTATCGCCATCCGTTGCCTTGGATCAGCCGCCCCTCTGCAAGGTGCTTTGGTTTCCTACCAAGGACCTGCGTGAGCCTTTTCTTGGCTGGAGCCTTGAAGGCCTCCTCTTCGGGGTTGCACCTTGTGCCAATATTCTCTTGTTTGCCAGCTCACGCCAGGAAGTCGTTGCCTTGTGCCTTTTAAACAAAGCATGCCATGATTATGTCGCCGAGCGCGTATCCAAGGCCCGCGGCTGATTTGGCCCTTTTGCCTCACACCCCCGGCCCTCAGCTGGCCAGCCCTCTGCGAGTCCGGCACATGGGAGCCTATGCCTTGCTGTCTCTCAGGCATCTTCAGCAGACTGGGCGTTGCAGCCTCAGCGAGCACAAGCCAACCCGAAAGCCCGTTAAACCAAGCCGTTTTCTGAAGCCGTCTATGAGCCCTTTCTTGCAGCTGGCTCTTCTCATACGTGCCGCCCCTCCAGGTTTCTTCGAACCCCGGCCCTCACCTCAGCCTCCTAAGCCAATTCGGGCCTGCGCCAAGATGTTGGTCAGAGCAGGCCTTCGTTGTCATTCATGCTTTCAGATCAAGCCGCTTCTTCTGCCTTCAGGTCAGCCGACATCGGCCCTGCCCTCGGATTCCCCGGCCCTCAGCGCCTCATCTTTCGATGGCCAGCCTGATTCGGCTGATTTTTCAGGATCCACTTGATCCACTCCTACCCTCGGTCCGGGCCCTGCCTGCCTTGCAAGCGGTCAACTGCAGCCGGCATACATAGCTCTTTCGGCTAGACAACATGCGGGGGAATCAGCAGCCCCGCCGCCAGGATCAGCGCGCACAGCGCTCACCCTGGCCCGCCTTTGCCAACAGCCCTGCTCTGCAATGGAATCAGGGCCAGCCGACTGCCAATGTGACCAACCTCTCAGCCATGGGCCGCATGAACGCGGGCCTATCCGGCCCCTTAGCCTTCGACCCCGATACCAGCTCAGCCTATGATGCTCTGCAACCACAGCCTTCCACTCAGGACTTCAGCCAAGAGCCTACCGACGAGCCGACTGTACAGTCACTAGCCGATCGCCTCAGATCTTTGGAAGCTCGCATCGGCATTCTGGAAGCCGACCGACGCGGTGCACAACAAGCCTTGTGGCATCATAGCCGTCGCGCACATGAGCAACCCCGCCTTCGATGCTTGCTCTCGCCATGGGTTTTTCTCAGTGCCAAGGTGGACGCCGTCAGGATACGCCTGGACCAGACCTACGCCAGGGTAGCCGGCTTGCTCCTGACTCTTCAGCAAGCCTTCCCTACGATAGCCCTATACTTCACGGAGTCAGCCGTGGATGCTTGCCAATATCAGGGACCCGCAGCCTTGTTGGACTCCGAAGGAGATCCTGAAGCATAGCCTTTTGCGTCCAGCCTTGCTCGCTTGCCAAAAGACCCCTGCAGTCTGGTCACGCCGATTGCGTGAAGCCTCACCATGATGTCCCTGCTCAGGTCCAGCCTCTTTCAGGCCCGCTCCTTTTGCCACAACCTCCCCAGCCTTACCTTGCCTCACACCTTCGACCTGGACCCAGCCTTCGCCAGGATGTATTATATGGGCAGCCGTGGTGAGATGCGTTGTGGCCTTCCATGCTCGACCGTGCCTTTCTGTCCTTACCATTCAGCCTGCGGACGCGAAATCACCAAAGGGACCGTCGAGCATCGGGACAAGCACTCCGGCCATCAATGTTCGCGCTGCAAAGAATTTACAGACCTTGGTCGCAGCCCTTTTGAATGGTTTTCTGCCGTACCCACCCAGGCCTCCTTGGGGTAGCCGTTTGCCTTCGCAGCCTTACACTGCCTTTTTTCAGCCTTTACACAACTCCATAAAAGCTAGCCTTCAGCCACTTTCTATGCGCAAGCGCACGGCATTTTTGCGCCGCACGACCGCCGCCATCGGCCCACAAAAAGTGTGCTCTGCATTCGGAGTCTCCGCTGATCGGTCTTACATCGAATTTGCTGTGCTCTTTTCAGTCCCGACCTGCAGGACCAGCCTGGCCTTTCAGCGGCGACCTCAGCCTCTGCACGTGCTCTGCAACGTTTGTCCTTGTGCATGCCTTCAGCCGATCATGGATCCAGACACAGACCCGGACGACCTTAGCAACCTTGAATCATGGAGCCCAGTCAACAGCCTGCACAGCGATGCTCAGCGAACAGGAAGGTCCCTACCGGCGCCATTGTGGGTGCTCTCGGGGTTTCTCCACCCGGACGAAGATCAGCCTACAGCCCACCAACCAGATCGCAGCAGGAGCCCCAGCCGCGAGAGCCGCGTGTCACCAACACAAGAACGGGCCACAGTGGTCCGACGCTTTCGCAAAGACTCTTCTGCCTTCGCTTCAACAGTGAACCCTATCCCGCCAGGCGCCGACAAGCATGTTCTCCTACCCCTGCAGTCGGCGCCCAAGACACGGCCGGGCCTGCCCCCTCCAGCCCTGCTGGAGGGCCAGCCTTCTCGGACTCAGCCACCCGATCTGTCAGCCTTTAGTGCGGCCGGTTCCGAGAAGCCTTCGTTACTTGCCACCCTCTCGCCCGGCGTCAGCCCCGAACCCGATCCGTCACACTCGGTTACCGGACATGGTACAGCCACCGCGCCCGGGCGGCAGGCCCACCCAGGTTACCAGGAAAGGCCAGGAGGAGTCCAGAAAAGCCAAAGCCCTGGAACAGTGGAAGGAGCTTATCTGGCTCCTCGGAGACTCGGCAGCATTGTACCGCAGCCTTCAGGAAGCCAAATATTCGCAGCAGCTTCTCGCCCAAAGCATCATGCCCTATACTGCCGGCACTCTCGAAACCTACTTGTCAGCCTGCAGACAGTTCATTGAGTACCTGGTCCTCAACAGCCTCGAAGTCAGCTCGGTCTCCGTAGCCTGCCTTGGCGACCTCCTTTGGGCTTGCAACTCTAGCCTCGAAGAAGATAGAGAAGTATGCCGCACCGGACCCAAGCCAATGATCAAAGCCCTCTCATGGCTAGCCAAAACCGCCGGACTAGCCCAGCTTGCGGCTGTGCTGTCAAACCGCCTTATCAGGACCTTTACGGCTCAGACCGGCACGGACAGGCGAGAAGCCTTGCCTCTGCCACTTGCCGTGGTCGTCGCCTGGGAACGCCGCATATGCCAGGAGGAGTGTCCCACAGAGCTCTGCCTTCTGCTAGGGGGATTCCTGCTAGCCTTGCACGGGGGCTTGCGATTTGGGGATCTTCAGCGCATCAGCCTTAAGAGCCTATCCCTCACAGGACATAGCCTTAGAGCGGTTTGCTGGCATACAAAAACCACCAAGCGGGGTCAGCCTTTTGCTGTTCGCCTCCATGGAATTTCCGGCCGTGACCCGGCAGGCCTTTGGGTGCTACCCTTCCTCAGAGCCGTCCAGACAACATGGGAGCGTACCGAGCAGATCTACGGCACACAAAACTGCCCCGACTTCATTCTGCCCACCCTTCATAACCTCAGGGGTTTCCCAGGAAAGCCATCGGCAGCCTACCACCAGCCTATGTCGTACAGCCAAGCGCTAGGGTGCCTTCGGTTTTCATGTGCCGCGAACATCTGGAAGGCAACTCCCCGGAGCTGCTCACACCTGCAGAAGCCTCCGCCTTCACCATGCACAGCCTCAAGGTTTGCCTGCTGAGCGCCGGTGCACAAATCCAGGCCGCAGATAAAATACGCCAACAACAAGGCCATCACAAAAACCCTAGCGTACAGCTTTACGGGAGAGATGATACCCTCGGAGCGCTAGCCCTACAAACCGACATCACCCAAGCATGTGCCTTAGGTTGGCGGCCGTCGCGCCCAATTGCCAGGGGAGGACAGCGCCCGACAGTGGAGCCGCCTTTTTCAGTCACCTCGTCACCGCCACCCAACGCCTTCCAGCTCTCCGCCCTCGGAAAGGGCCTACACAGGTTCATCTACTCACGTGAAGCCGAATTGGAGCAGGTTGGGCCCGAAACCCAACCGGCCACCGCGGAAAGAACCGATACTCCGTCGATACCGAGCAATGGGCCATCGGAGCAGAGAACACCCGGGGCCAACAGCCTCCCCCCGACCATACCAGCAGACGATATCGAGGCCCTGCTAGTGGAGAGTTTCGCGGCCTCACAAGCCGACTCATCCGACTCGGAGGAACACACCACCCTGCCGACAGTGGAAGAAATAGTTATCTTCCAAAACGGACCATGGGGATCCGTGCACGCACAGCCGTTGGGAGCCGACAAAGCGGCATGCAGGACGCCCCGCTCCACGGCCGCCTTTTGCCCTACATGTCCCAACATAGCTTTTTTCTGCCGCAGAGCGGCTTGCCGACGCCTGCTTGACGCACTGCCTTAAGGAAAACGCGGGAGCGTCCTCGTGCTTTTGCCCGGTCTGCCTGATCTCTTGCCATGCCTTCGTACCGCAGCCGTTTAGGCTTACCCCACAAGTCACAACTAGACTGCCAACAATTATGGCGCTCATTGAGCAATCGGAGCTCACAGCATTCCTGCAGGCGCAGGGGGTGCACGAAGTAGTCTGCAACGGCCTCGCAGTCAAGGGGCTTGAGACAGTTGAGGACCTGGCATTTGCCTACCCAGACCTTACTAGCTTTGACACCTTTCTGCAGAACCTCTCGGAGTCGGACCTCAGCGACATGGGGGTCTCAGATGCACTACATTCGGTCCAGGCAGCACGAGCCAGAAAAAGCCTTGCGCTCAGCGCACAAAGCACAGGAGGGACCTCAGCCTCCATCTGCCATACCATCCCTCCCAGCAGCCTTAGCCCCCACGACCTCACCATCCTCATGGATGGAGCATTTGCCGCCGAAGCTTAGCTCGGAGGTCGTGCAAGACTTGGTCACGACCTTTAAAGCCAATTACCCCGGAGAGCTCCTGGACGATGACACCATGCCATCAATCCGCCTCCTGAGCCTGGTGCAACACAGCCTTCAGCCAGGAGAGAGGCTCAAATGGATCCCATGGCAGCGTCGCCTCAGCTCCAAACAGTATTCTGAAATTATGGAAGCCAAATCATCCAAGCCCATGCGGACCGAAGCACAGCTTCTTGCATCAGCCATATACGACGATACGCCGGAGATGGCTGTCTCCCACCTCCGCCTTTCTGTGTCTTGGTTACAGCGCATCCAAACAGTGTTCCGAAACGCGTGGGCACTGTGTGGAGCAGCCCACCTGAACAACCTCAAAGCCTTTGACAAGCGAGTCGAGCACTTAGCCTTGCCGGATCTAGCCGACTCCTCTCTCCGAGGCCCTACAACGCAAGAGCTCTTGACAGCCGATCGCAAGATCTGGAACACCATCTCGAGCCTTGCTGCATCCGGCTGTGGAGCCTTGATGAAGCCTTATATGAGGTCACTAGCATTCGCAGTGACCTCGCCAACTTGCTACAGCCAAGACCTCGGCCCCCGCCTACACTGCCAGGTCCCAACCGCCGTCCCCATGGGGGGAACCCGCCTCCGCCGCCAAGCAAGAGAATCCGCCTCAACACGCCAACCACCGAAAAAGGCGGAAAGGGCAAAGGTCGCGGCAAAGGCCTTCAGAAGCCAGATAGCCCATCTAAATCTGAGTCATGGCCCTCCAATTGGGTGTTGAAAGCCAAGGGCAAAGTGCTCTGCAAGCGTTACCAGAGGAATCTCTGCGCCTTACCCAATTGCAAATTCGCCCACCTATGTGCGGTTAGGGGCTGCGGCAAGGAGCACTGCGCCATCGACCACGACAAGAAGCCTTCGTGACTAGGCCCGGCATCAGAGCCTCAGACGCAACAGCAGCCTCAGCCTCCTCCCGGCACGGTACCTGAAGCCTCACAAGTTTCAGCCTTGGAGCAGCCTCACCCAACCGGGAGCTCTGAGCAGCACCCGTCGCCATCATCCCAAGCCACAGGCCCGCAGCAGCCGCCTCCGCCTCAGCCACGCGTAACACGCAACCCCGGCGGGGGTCCGGCGGGACGCAGGTTTGCTAACCGGCTCTGAGCCAATGCAAAGGCCATAAGCCCCCTGTAATCCCCAGCCTTAAGACCTTAGCCGTTTGCCCATCCATCCCCATAGGTTCCACATGCCTACGCCATGCCCGGGACGCCAACGTCTGCGCCATTGACCTATCGCGAGAAGACAGCCACGATCTGCCCGACCTTCTCCTTCAGGCGATTTGGTCACGGGTGGTTCTAGGCCTCATTGCAGACCTCAGCTCGCTCACCCCACACCTCAACGAAGCATGCGCCTTTTTGCAAGCCATCCGCTCCTCCGGAGCATCCGCCTTGCTATTTCTGCCAGCAGATCATTTCCTCTTCCAGGCGCCACCGTTCTGCGAAGCACTCCACGACGGGGGGCTATTTCTATGCCCGGAACCAGATTCAGAGAGGATTCTCATAGCCACAGCTCCCTTGCCCACGTGGCCTTGCGTCGACCCGGGTCTTGCAGCTCTGGAGGCAGCAGGACGATTTGCTGCCATGCCACTCTCTACCACACCAGCTCAGCCTCCAACTCTAGCATCCGCCCTACAATGCCATGGAGAACTGGCACATGACAGGGCCCCCATCTGTGATGGCGCTGGCAACACCAGCTCCGCGGACTGGAGCCGACCTCAGCCGAGTCCTGCAGCCATGCAAGACATTATGCAAGCCTGGCTCAAATGGGAATCCCAACGCGACATGCCCAAACGAGTCTTTGCACACCTCGCCCAAAGCAAACCAGATCACCCCATCCCAGAAGAAGACCAACTTGAGCTCATTCGGATAGCCTGCGAGGTCATGGAATGGGACTACGACTCCATGACGCAAGCAGCCGAAGGACAGCCTTTTCGTCTCAATCTTATGCAAGCCTTTGCAGACCTCCTCAACGACCCAGACAAAGATCTCCCAGCCTTGTTACGCGTGGGGGTGCATACAGGAGTCTTTGACCCCATTGAGCCCTCGGGGCTGTGGCCACTAGCCAAGATCCAGCCTCTGGCCTCATCAGGATTGGAGGTATGTGAGGGGAACTGGAAGCCAGCCGAGGCAGACCCGGATACAGTACGAAGCCTTCTAGCAGACGAAGAAGCCGCAGGATGGATACAACCCGTGCCAGGCGGCCTTGAGGAAGCCAAGCAGCTTTGGCCCAAGGGCATCGCCGTCGGCAAGCTCAGCCTGGTGAAGGCGGATAACAGAGACCCTCGACTTGTTCTGGATAGCACGGTCTGCCAGGTCAACCCCATGTGCCGCATCCCCGAAGCGGTTTCAATGCCTACCGTCAACGATGTCCGGGCTACGTTTGTGCCGTCAGACCCGCGAGGGTCCTTCCTTGCAGCAAGTGTGGACTTCAAGGCAGCCCACAAGCGAGTCAAGGTTCACCGCTCCGAACAAGGCCTACTTCTCTTCATGCTCGAAAAGATCCTTTACAGGTACGTGGTTTGCCACTTTGGGGCTAAGTTCTCAGCCTACTGGTGGCAGAGAGTCGGAGGCCTTATCACTCGCATTGCCCACCACGCACTAGCCTTCGCCCCGCACAAAGCCTGGCTTTATGTCGATGACCTGCTTTCAGCTTTACTCCGCGCCTTCGCGCCAGAACTCTTATTCCTCCTCATAGCCACACTATCAAGCCTTGCCGCGCCAATTAGCTGGAAAAAGGCCTCAGTCGGGGACAGCCTGGTTTGGTGCGGTTGGCACTTTAACTTTCGCCTCGAAACTGTCGAGCTTTGCGAGGCCAAACGAGCTAAGCTTTGCGGCCAGCTCAAGGCCCTACTAGCTTGCAAAAAGGTCCCCAGGAAAGACCTCGAAGCCTGCATAGGCCTACTCATGTGGGCGACCGCCATCAGCAAGGTTCTGCGAGCCCACGTAGCGCCTTTATACAGTGTCCATAACAGCCCTCCAGGCAGCAATTGCTCTATCTCTCCTCGGATGTGGCCAGCCTTTCTCCACAGCCTAGACTCCAGAGCCGTCATCTGCCGGCTCATACCAGGAGTAAACCTGCCGCTTAAGGCACGGATCATCGAGGTCGGCAGTCGACCTGTGCACTGCAAGGCTGACCTCCCGCCACAGCCTAAGTCCTCGGGACCTACTTGGGTCCGTATCTCGGACCCCACCTGCCCTGAAATCAAGCTGACTAATACGGCCCAGGACAGCCTACGTTGGTTACTGCCGCGCATTGAAGCCATCCCGACAACAAGCCTCTCACTTCCGCCCCTTGTCGCGTGCCTAGCCAGAGCTGACGCCATGGCTGAAGGGGATAGAGTTGGCATCGGAGGATGGATCACAACCAAACACAGCATGGCCTGGTTTGCCGAAGCCTGGACCATGGACGAGGTGAGGAGCACATGGCCTTTTCTCACCAAGGATGCCCAGAAATATATTGCCTGCTTTGAGACGCTAGCTCAGCTTGCACTTGCCATGACAGCCCGAGAACGCCACGCCTTCTCGCAGTTTTCGGTCTGTTTGCCGTCGCAGAGCGACAACACGCCATCAGAAGCGGGCATCAACAAGCTTTTCACAACCAGCTGGCCCCTCTCGCAGTTCCTACAGCTGATAGCTTCGTGGTCATCCTGCCATGGCGTTGACCTACAAGTTTCTCACGTTGCAGGAGCACACAACCAATGGGCGGACGACCTCAGCCGAGGTCGGCTTCAAGCCTTCAGCCACAGACCTCAAGAACGAGTTCGGGTCAGCCTTGACCGACTTGCATCCGCGGCCTCCCAGGCCACCTGGTCAGGACCCCCAGACACAGCAAGCCCTTTACTGCCCAGACCGGAGTGACAGCTGCGCCGAGACCGACTCCCGCCAGCCATGCCGAAATGAAAAAGAGGACCGCTGCCCTTGCGCCTGCTTGTTCTGCGACCTTTGGCCTGTCCCTTGACCTGCCTCTTTCTGCCTGCTCAGGTCCACCTCCACCGCCCGCGGTGGGGGATACTCGCCTGCTGCCTTACCGGTTGGATCTGTCCCTGAAGTGGGGGAGTTTATGCCTTGGCTAGCCCTCTAGACCTTGGCACCTCCGGGCTAGCCGCAGAGCCTTACAGATCCAATACGGTATAAAAGATGGCAGCAAGTGATAGAGCAGTGCAAGCCTTTCTAGAACGTTTCGTGTTTTTGTTCACGTATGTTTTAGAAGGCATGTGAATCTATAGCACATCGCAGCACTGGCTCTAGCACTTGAGTTTTCTCGAAAAGCCCCACCCGCCCACACCTAGGTATCGACTTCGGTCCCAGCCTCAGCCTTGAGTGGGCCTTCTTGCTGAAACCAAGCCACACCAGCCTTGCAGCTGCAGCTCAGCCTTGATCTGCTATCACGGCCTGGCCTCCGCGAGGCCGGATGCTCGCACAAGCCGAGCTTACTCCGTCGCCACGGATCGCCTGACTCAGGCGGCTCCGTCTAGCCTCTTCGCCTTATCAAAGCCTTCACCTTAGGACCTTTCTAGTTCCCTAGCCCCCTTCGGTTACCCGCCCGCACCCTCTCCGCTCAGGTACGTTCGTCTCCGAGCTCATCGACTTCGTGCTGACGCCAAACGTGATGCCTTCTCGGTTTTCACCAAAGTTTCACGGAGCCCGACTCGCCTGCCCCAGGTAAATCGGATTGCCTTTGCACAGCCCTTCTTAAGCCAATCACAGTTTTGGCATTCGCCCGTACGCTTCTCAGCCCTGAGAACTGCCTTTTGGCTCCCTTGGAGCCTAGTTATTGGCCTTCTCAGAAGTTTTACTGACTGACTTCTCACAAAGCCTAGTCCGACGGGGGAGTTTATGCCTTGGCTAGCCCTCTAGACCTTGGCACCTCCGGGCTAGCCGCAGAGCGTTACAGATCCAATACGGTATAAAAGATGGCAGCAAGTGATAGAGCAGTGCAAGCCTTTCTAGAACGGAACGCTTTCTACCGCAACAAGGGGTTCTGCTGAAGTTCAGGGCCACGAAGGACATTACCCAGGACACTCAGGCGGAGGTGGTGCCCTTTGTGATCACGATCGGCCTGCGTTCGGAAGGAGCCCAGAAAGTGTTCCACGGCCTCCGACTCCTCTCCGGAAATGCGGTGATGAAGTTGCTGGGAGCCCGCCTCCGGCCAGAACGGGGCCAGAGGCAACCTTTGGCCAAGCAGGTGGAGACGGCCTACAAAGCCACCCACTACTGCGACTGGCAGAGGGAGAAGAGCTGGAAGTAGCCGATCTAGGTCGATCGGCTACTGTTGCACTTAGGGAAGTGCAACGCTGGGAGCGCCCTCCTCTCAGCTTACCACAAGCCCGCCTTCGTAATCCCCATAATATATGCTACCTCAACTCCTGCATTCAGGCCTTCTTCTGGACGGGAGCCCTGGCTGGGGATGATACCATCGCATGTGGATCTCTCAAGGCCGGAGTTCAAGCGCTCAGAGTCAGGGGTTCACTATATTTACCGGACAGTCTTCCGATGCGCATTCTGTTTGCACAATGGCAGAATCTTCGCCAGCAGCATGATGTAGGTGAGTTTTATCAACACGTGGTGTGTCGGGCCATGCCGCTGGCCTATTCTGGATGTTGGGAGTCGCGCCTGACACTCCCCTTTCAGATCACAGACTCAGGCGAGCTGGCATCACCGGTTCTGCTACATCTAGCAGGAGCCACTCTTGTTACGCTGATTCGCCACTGGCGCGATCAGTATGCGGTATCAGCGCTTGTCCGGCATAGTGGTTTCGTAGTCCTTCAGCTGTGTAGATACAGTGAGGAAGCCGGTAAGAATCGACGTCCCATACCCCTGCTGCCAGGAGCGCGCCTCACAATGCCGATCTTTGAAGGTGAAGGCGGCACTGATACCCGTGAGGAGACCTTCATAATAGCTTGGGTTATCTTTCACCTAGGTGAGGTCCCAACCAGTGGTCATCACCAGGCTGCTCTTAGTGTCCCCGTTAAGCGGCGATGGGAGTTTTGCATCTGTAATGATAATGCCACCCCGCGTAAGGCCAAGACCGAAGATCATGACACTATAGCTACCAATGGCTACTTGATAGGCCTCCTCCGGGCTGAATAATAGCAGCTTCTGTCGATCAGCACAGTTGCTCCCTCGGGAGTCCCAGGCACTGCCCAAAGTGCCTCTGTCTTGCATGATGCCGAAGCGCGATCGTGCAACTGTTCCACGCCAAAACAAGTCGGTCTGCCCAATTCGCGTGTATGCAGATTCGTTGTCACTTGCATGCTTTTCTTTTTGCCAACAGCACACACCTCGCATTGCCCGCCGTTTTCTGTTACTCCCCAGCAAGTTTTGCAGTAGGATCTACAGGGGTGCCCGACTTACGTCACTGCCGTGGCCTCAGCACTGCCTTTGCGTTTCAGCCTTACGTACTTCCCTCCGGCTTGGCAATTTCGGCAAACCCTTAGTTGTGCCCCAAACACCATCTGGTTCTCCCATCTACTGCACGGATGGCCGCAGAGTGTCCACTTCCGTCAGATGTCTATACAGAGGCGCTTGAGAATCATTTGCTGCTGGCCTGCCTTGCCTCGCTGCTTCACTCCCAGGATGGCTCCTTATTGCCACCTAGCTACGGCCTGCTTTGTCGCAATGATATCTTGCGGGAGGCGAAACAGCTTTTGGCAGCGGACAGCTATGCTGATTTTCTTTGTTATTCTTTGACACTGAGTGAGGCTCTGCCCTCATACCCAAATGCCATTCTGCCTGAAGCAGTGCCTCTTTCTGGCGAGGGTCATAGCACGGCCGAGTCACTGGCTTTCAGTATACTCGAAGCTGGAAATGCCTCGATCTGGGAAGCAGTGCGCCATGTCATAGGGCAATTGCGCTATGAACGGCCCAGGCACCGTTCTATGGCCTATCAGCAGGGCGCTCAAAGCTTCACAGTTGGCATCTATGCGAGGCATCAACTGGTGGGACTGAGCAAGGCTACGCTAGTACACTCAAACGTCAGCAAGCTTCTCTGCTCGTACATAGCTCATCTTTGCCCTGGCTTCTGCTGGACTACGCTGGTAGTACACTGCAATTATGCCACGCCGGTGCATCGAGACCCAGCCAATGGCCCGTTCTCTAATTTTCTGACCATGGTTAGTACCACGGACTGCGGAGGGCTATGGTTGCAGGACTCGACGGGCTGTGAGTTTCAAGAGATTCCGGATGGAATGTGTGGAGGCCGCTTCCTACAGCTGCAGGATCAATACATCATTTTTCCTGCACATACTCACTGGCACGCCACACAAACCTGGGGATGCTACGATCGTTACACGCTGGTTGCTTACACAGTGCGAAACTGGACGCATCTGCCTGCTGCCATGCAACGAACGCTTCAATCCCGGGAATTTCAGCTGCCAGAGGATCCGCGGGCCGCCGCAACACTGCATGCTGAACAGCGAGTTTTTCCAACCATCCTGCTTGATCCCGTCGCCTAACGGCGTTATAGTCAGTTCTGTATGGATGGCTTGAATGCAGTACTCGGTCCTGCTTTGATGCACGTTGTTTGCCTACTGTGCAATCCAGGAGTAAGGCTCATGCGGCCGAGATTGTCTCCTATCGAACAGTTGCGCTGCGACAACACTGGTAAGTTTCCGGACGCTGCGTATCTGCTCTCATAGGCCCTAATACCCTAATTCCCTTTTGACCTCTGCCTCTTGCACCTAGGCCCCAGTCCGCTTACCCAAACCCCGCACTGCAACGGTAGCCACGGTTGTCCTTGGCCACTCATGCACTCTGCATAAACCCAGCTGCGTTGCTGCAATGGGTGCATTTCCTGCTGCCTGTGCCAAGGTCGTCCCCATGGCTCAACGTGATCCAGAGGTGGATCCAGCGGTGACTCAGGGCAGGACTCCTGCTCAGGATGGCAACTCGGTTTGCAATGCACCAGATGGCAGCCATATGGGATCACCATCCATAGGTCTGGATGGTGGTTGTGGAGTGACTCCCGCGCCTTTAGGTCAGGGCGTCGGGGTCCTTCACAAGCGCTGCACAACGCCTGGATGTGACAGGAGTTTTTACTGTCCGGCCAATGCTCGGCACCGGCACTGCTGCTCCATATGTGGCACGGGCTTTCATACCAATCGCTGTCGCAAACTGCAGCGGGCTATACGGGAGGCCAACACAGGGAACCACCATGGCGCGAGGAGCACAGGCTCTACAGTGGCAGCTGCCAAATCAGCGGCAACTCAGCCCCCGCCTACGATGGATTCTTCTGGGTTCGGCAGGTTCGGCATGGATGTTGCAGCATCTTCGGGTAACCACAGGTCTCCGATGAGTTCTGAGGCAGCCGTTGCAAGCTCCAGCTCCAGTTTGGGTTATGCGAGGGTGAGTGCTACTGCTCTAGATTTGGATGCAATGGACTGACAAGTCTTATGCCGTGTGTCTTCAAAGGAATCAGGCAAGGCTCCTGATCCTGCCACAGAGCGGCCGGATCTTAGATCTGTCCTACCCTCGTCGTGCATCGGTACTCCGAGAGACGCTGTTGAATGAATACTACTACTACTACTACTACTACTACTACTACTACTACTACTACTACTACTACTAGTACTACGACGGCGACGGCGATGGCGACCGCGGCGGGGAGCCGAGGCGAGCTTTCCAAGGGAGTTCGACTTTGATAGGGTCTGTCGTCTTCTTATCAAACCGCCGTCCGATCTGCTTCGACTACTACGACCAGTACGACTGTTACGACGATTAACACTACTACGACTACAGCGACGACGATGTCGACGACTAGACTACGACTACGGTGTACTGCCACTGCGACTCGGACCAAGGGGACCAGGACTACGACTGCGACGACGACGACTGCTGCTGCTTCCACTTCCTGGTTACAATCTCCTGCAGGTCCAAAGTTTCTTAGCCCGAGACTTCGGTCGAATTCCCAAACCAAGGACAGTCCTTTTTTGTCGCGGTTGTCGCGGCCGTTGGCTTCCTTTCTGTTGTGTTGTGTTTTGTTGCACTTTCGGCTATGTCATGTGGCTATGTAAGGTGCTCTCCCGCAGGACAGAGTTCAGCACTGCAGAGCCAATCTTGGCATCAGTATCGTGAATCAAAGACATTAAGTTTGCACCCTAAACGTTTGTATGCCTAGGTTTGGGGTCCCAAACACCCCTATTAAGGGCCATATTCCATGGTTAGGGACCCAAATCCAAGGGTACAAACCCTAAGGGTGCCAAGGAAAACTCCTTGAGTGAAACCCTCAGAGGCCTTCTGGAATCTGGATTTCGGCCTCGCGTTCCTCACCGGCTTCTATGACCAGGCAGCCTCATGTTTTTGGTCCGGGTGAGAGCCTGTGCGGTGGAGTGTATTATAGGGGATTAGGGTTTATGTTTAGGGGGTTAGGGTTTAGGGATATTTCAGTGCTGCAGTCGTTAAGTATATCATTTCATGCTGTATGGGTGCTCAAGCTCTGGGGCCCCCCGGGAGCTAAGGCTGTTCTGGGCTTCCGGGCTTCTGGGTTTCAGCGGACCGGACCGTGGGGGCTCGGAAGGGCGTTTGGAGGAAGGTCTCACGAAAAGCGTCGGGAAGTTATGTGCCTCGCAGAGGGCATGTCGCCTTCAGCTTGATGTCGATAAGCGTGCAGAGCTACTTGGCAGTTTTTGTCAAGTTCTCAGAGCTGTGTGCCGACCCGTTGTGGCACAGACAAAAGAATATGAATCCTGAAACGAAAAGTACGCGAAACTGCGAAGACCCGCCAGGGACGAAGGCTCCTGATCAGTTCCCCACCAAACCCCCGACCCAAAGCCCCAAATCCAAACTCTAAGCCCCGCAGTGAAGCCCGAATCGTTTTGTTTCAGGGTTCGCTGGTGATGGACCGCGCCGCAGTGGCCCGGCAATATGCGAAAACTTGGATGATCTTCGACCTTTTCCTCATTCTAATGGACTGGCCGCTTGTCTTGTTTGGCTTAGGCTCTCGGTGCGGGGGTTGGTTAGGTTTCAGGGTCGAGAGTTTCCGTTGATATGCAACTGAAGGGCCAGCATCGGTTCGTTCGGGCTTCAGCTTCAGCATGGTATAGGGTTTCAGGCCATGTGGTTCAAAATTTGGGAGTTTCGAGTCCGAGCTTGCAGTCTTGGGCTGTTGGTGTTTAGGGGGTTTAGGGTTTAGGGTTCCTTTAAGGGATCTATGAGGGTTCCTTGGGGTTTCCGAGGTCTGTCACTGTCATGGACCGCGTGGCTCTGACCGGAAATCCAGCGGCCTGGCAGGGTCCTTTAAGGGATCTATAGGGTTCCTTTAAAGGGATCCATAAGGGATCTATAGGGTTTAGGGGTTTAGGGTGCAGGCAAGTGTAAGATTGCCATTACTGTTCTTAGTATGATTACTTGTAGTTTCGTTATTGTTATCCTGAATGTCACTGTTGTTACAATGTTTCTATCACGGTTATTAGTACCATTGTTGTTGTTACTGTTATTGCTATGTTATTGTGGTCATTCGTATTTCCACGTCATTGCCATTGGTTTTTGTGGTATCATTATAGGTCAGCATTACTAGTGATATGTTTTAGACCTGTCTCATCATAAATATTCGCATTTTTACCATCACCATTATTAATATTGTTGTTATTATATTTTTCCTTACTGGTCTTGTTACATGATTGTCATTGCGCTTACTGTTGATAGTGCGTATTCTTTCTCTTACGTCTATGGCAAGTGCAAGTCGACCAAGTTCCGAGCCGGTCTCTATGGACCGATGACGAGAACTCGTAGTGCGTGTCGTGTTACTTGTATTAGGGTGGTTGTCAATTTAGGGTTCCTTCTTGGGTACCCTAAGTATTAGGTGCCGTATGTATTATAATGAGGACCCAAAAAGGGACCCTAATATTGACGACCACCCGTATGTCAGCTATGTTACCTACTACCCAACTATGACTTAGTTTCTTTACTGTACCGTCTCTGGCAAGAGTGACTGTCGCAACGGAGCGAGAGCCCCGTTCCCAAGTGCCTCCGTGATTCGAGCTTGTTAACCACAACGAATGTGAGATGTTATGAAGTTATGAGTGTGCAGATGGGTTGTGTGACCCTAGGCCGAGTGGTCGAAGACCATCCGAATGCTTCGACTTCTTCGCCTCGTGCGCATCGTGCGGGCCATTAAGCTGCGTCGAGGCTTCGTGGCCGTGCAGGACACCGAAGAAGAGGGGATTCCCGAAGATGCTTGTATGCCAGTATTGATGAACATCACCAGCACAAGGTTTCAGTCAGAACGCGGCATTGAGTTTAGGTATCGTCAGGCAACACGAGCCACTCCTTGTGTGATGTCTTCGGCCACTCCAGCATTTGTGAAGCTACTGCTACCAGGACCTCCTGCACTCACAGGCCTCCAGCCTCTACCTCAGCTTCTATGTCAGCCTGGGACCGGTTTAGGGTTTAGGGGTTTAGGGTTTAGGGTTAAGGGTTTTTCGCGTTGTCGGACTTCCCAGGAATGCGGAAGTGCCGCCCCAGAGTCCTGGACCTAAACCTGTGAAAGTCCTGGAGCTTTGGTGGAGGGGAGTTTCGGCCCCCAACCCTACCTGCGAGTTTCCGTGAATAATAATTAGGGGTACCCGATTTGGGGGTCCTTGTAATCAGGATCCTACAATTCAGGGTACTATATTAGGCTCCCCTATTTTCGGAAACACTCAGGTCCCTAAACCCTAAACCCTAAACCCTAAACACCAAACCCCGAAACCCTAAACCCGTAGTTAAACCCTAAACCCCCAACCCTAAACCCTAAACCCCCAAACCCCAAACCCTAAACCCCCAACCCTAAACCCCCCAACCCTAAACCCGAAACCTCCCCCGGCACCTAAGAACTGGGAGATCGACCTCGAGCCGAAGTGAACCAAAGCCCACATTCGGTATCAGCTCAAACGTAATGACTTAGCAGCAGTAGTGGTGGTAGTAGTAGTAGTAGTAGTAGTCGTAGTCGTAGTAGTAGTAGTCGTAGTAGTAGTCGTAGTAGTAGTCGTAGTAGTAGTAGTAGTAGCAGTAGTAGTGGTAGTAGTAGTAGTAGTAGTAGCAGCTGCGTGGTCGTCACAGTCGTAGGAGATTTATCACAACACCTCATGTCGTCAGCCTTGTAGCCAAGCGGACGCCATGCAGGACAGTTGCTTGTCCTCAACCACTGGATGGCCTGTGCGTGGTTCGGGGTCAGCTGGTTGAACGCAGACAACTGGGTCGTGGCCAGTGGACTCCAGGACGAGCCATCGCATTTTTCGAGCTTAGGCGAGCTGGCTTTGTACAGGGTCGCAGGCCATGCGTGTTGTTCGTAGCTGAACATCGCTGAAGACACATGCCCAACTTACACGCACAAGACGCTCCTACAGGTTTCCGCCGTGCTTTCCAAGACGGCTTCTTTCTTGAAGCATCGAGTTTGCTAAATTCGCCTGCAAGAGCACATGCAGCCTGCTTTCCCACATGGCTGAGATCTAGTTGCGAACGAATAGCATACGCGATGGTGCTTGCCGACGCGTTTGTGCGTTGTGCTTGCATTTCCGGTCCCAGAAGGGAAGTACTACAGAAGTGCAGCATGCAAGCACCAGGGCTTGGGTGATAAAGCCCCTTGGAGCGAAGATAGCACTTCCCAACAGCGAAATTTCGGGCTTTTGTCCGTGCCAAAATTCAGCGGTAGACCCCAGTCTTCATCGGTCTTCTGAGATGGCAGACTCAGCCCATGGTCCTAAACCGGCTTTCACTTTCATTGTTTCATGGAGCCAGGCTCCAGAACATCTTTCGCCAAGAGTCTCCAGTCTTCAGCCTCGGCAGCTTGTACGGCATTCTGCCATGGTGCTGGCAGACCTAAGCAGTGGCAGGGACGTATGTAGCTGCACTATCATGATTAACTTTCGTTCCTGGCATTGTTGGCAGTTGGCAGTGTCACATGTGTATGCGGGTGTGAATTGTCATTCATCAATGCTGTTGTGTGTTGTTATTACATTTGGCTTGAAAACGAATCCTGGTAGGTGCAGTGTGGTCGCATGTTGCAGCTTGCAGCTACAGTCAGCAGCAGGAATACTCGTTCACCCTACGTGCCGATTAGGGAAAGGCATATGCAGACTACTGTCCCTTTATTGTCCCCCTTATAGTTCTCCCCGACCCTCTTCCAGTTGTAAAGGACCAAGCGTTTCGGAGATACCGAGCTCCATGGCAGGACAAGAACGCCCAGCACCAGTACCTGGCCTGCATCCTCTGGTCCTTCTGTCAGCTGGGAGTGGGCGAGAGCCCTCTGCAGCCGACGAACGAGGTTGAGATGCTCCTGAACGTCTGCATTACGTTCAGGCGCACTCTGTCCAAAATCAGAGGGCCAGGTTTCTATACCCAGGAGCCTCTTTGAGGATGTTCAGTTGTGAGGTCCCTTATCACCTCGGCCACCCTCATCAGCACCATGAGCAGCTTGATCGCGGGCTTGCGGAAGATAGAGCAGGACGAGACCACCGAGTTTCGGCTTCTGCGGCGCTACCTGAAGCACAACGAGATCCGCAGTGATGTGGGCCAGAAGGTAAAGGGCATCCAAACTTATCCAAACGTCGATTGCTGCAGAACATGAAGCTCTAGATTCTCTAGACTCTTAGATATCTTTAGATCTTGCCAATATCTCTTCGTGCTCCGTTGAACTCCGTTGTTTGAAGCCACCATCTCGCTAGTGGTGGTCCTGTGCCCACCAGCAGGTGAAGTTATAAACGCTGAAGACCTTACCCCAAACCCTCTGTCGCTCCCTTGCTGCAGGTCACGCAATTCTTGCAGCATCAATATGCCTTGAAGCAGCAGGCCAGGTCCTTTCACGTCCGTGTGCCGCTGCTGGAATTGCTCTCACGTCCGCTGTTCCACGAGCTCCAGTTCGAAAGGCAGACTGTCGAAGGGAGCGGGAGGGTTTTGGGGCGTTTCCAAGGGACCCTAATGTATTTCCCTAAATAGTAGGATCCTTTTTATAAGGGTGTTTCCAAGTCTTTTCAGAAACTTGCTGTGTTTAGTTTTGGTCCGGCTGGATTAGTTTCGCCCGGCTGGCCAGAGAGCCTAGCATTGCTTCGCTAGTGGCTTCTCCCGCTGATATGGGAGTTTCCGAAGACAGGGGACCCTAACATATTTCCCTAAGTAGTAAGATCCTTATTACAAGGACCCCCAAATCAGGTACCCCTATTTTCGGAAACTCCCATATTGCATTGCTCGCATTTTCTGTGGCTGCCATCGTGTCAACCAACCCTAAACCCTAAACCCCTAAACACTAAACCCTCAAAACCCTAAACCCGTAAACCCTAAACCCTAAACCAAGAACAAGCGACGACGACTAGGACCATGGTGACAACCGGTGTGGCTGCGGCTAGGACAACGACGACGGTTTGTACTACAGCCACAACAAGAGCAGCAACTAGTACTACCACTACTACTACTACTACTACTACTACTACTACTACTACGACTACTACTACTACTACTACTACTACGACTACTACTACTACTACTACTACTACTACTACTACTACTACTACTACTACTGCTCCTGCTAGTGCTACTGCTACTGTGACTAGTTTGCCTGCTGAAACTACTGCTGCTGCGGCTACTGCTGCTGCTACTCTACTACCTGATGTACATCTTCACTTTGATCATGTGCATCTACAGCAACACCAGATTCAGCGTTTGTCTCGCCATCACTGTCGCCGCCATCATCTTCTCATTCTTCCTAACAACTTGGATTTACACGGGTTGTTCTTGCTATTGCTGATGCTTCCACTTTGCGGTGTTTTGCGAGAATCGCCAAACGGGCAACTCATGCTCAGCCTGTTGCGTGATGTTCTCCTATGTTCTCACCTTGTTCCTCTCGAAGTCGTTCTGCCGGCAATGTTTGATGTATGTATATATATATATATGCACACACATATATATATATATATATATCTGTATATATACAAATGTATATGTATATGTCTGTATTTAGATATACATATGTGCCGACAGGTACCGCATGTCCCTTTGCAAGCTGCGCCTCATCCGTGATCTCCTGGATGAGCCAGGCATGCAAACGCTGCCGCCTTGGCCGCATTTCGATCTCGGTGCTTGTCGTTTAGGAGGGTTTTGAGCATCGGAGTTCGAGTTCACGGTTCTGGGACTAGAGTCCGGGAGGGTAGAAAGGGTTTGAGTTTGAAGGGGTTCGCATTAGGTAAAGGTCCAGTTTTTAGCCTGGTGAGGCTGCAGAGACACCACTGCAGACCCTTTCCTCTGAGACATAGGCTCGGCGTTGAAACCCTAAGAACGTAAACGTAAAACCAAAGCCCAAGCCTTGTCAGCCGGAAGTCTGCCCGAATGAGGCCGCTCTAACCCTGAACCAGTACATCCCTGACACCCAAAATTTAAAACCCTGAACCTGTTGAGCCGCGCAAGCAAGGCACACTCTCTATGAGCTCGCAAGCACAAGCCTGCATCACATGGTTGCCGCATCGGGCGATGTGATCTTCCTCAGTGGCAAGGCTGAGTAGGGTGTAGGGTTTTCAGGGTTTTAAAGGATTTTAGGGTTTAGGGTCTAGCCGCAGGTTCAGGGATTACGGTGGGATTCATTTCGGCTTTTCGGGTGCAGTAGAGTTGGTGGGTCCCTCAGCTCAAGATAGCTCAAGTCACCAGTAGTGCCAGTACCACGATATCTCAAACCCCTCACATCAGCCCTTGGCTGAAGAATCAAACTCTCGATGCCCCCAACCTTCATCTTTAGCCCTACACCCTGAGCCCGAGCGGTGAGCTCAAGCCCTGTAGCATGACTCCGAAGACGGGGCGTCAGAATGGGTGGCACACTGTGGCGGGAGCATGTGGCGGGAGCACGGGTTTGAGACATACACGAGTCGCTTCGGGCGTGGTGGGAAGACCCTCTGCACCACAAACTGCGCACAGGCAGTGGTGGAACCACCACTTCGATGCTCCCGAATCTCCTAAGCCCTTCAGAGCGGTGGAAATTTTGAGTGCGAACGAGCTTGAAGGACGCGAGTAGTGGCTCTGCTAGGACTTCAGCGACTTCGAGCAAGCACGGTACTGTGGGGCACGATTTCCACAAGAAACGAGGTTCCATTCATCAAATGCGGGAGCGCCAGTTCAATTATTTTGGTGTTCTTTGATCACAGAGCCGCCGCCGCGTGTGTTGCGGACGCACAAACTAGATCCCTCTTCTCTGAGCGTGTAAGAACCCCTGTGTTTCCCGCACCGTTTGGGGATTATGCCTCCCTTACGTAAAGCTGCCCTGAACCCCAAACCCTAAACAAGCATCCCACAACCGTCAACCCTGACAACACCTCATGCAATCATACAGGAGCCTTGATACTAAGAAGAGGGCTTGAGGTATATTCTCCTCTGACACAGCTATATTGGGGCGGAAAGGGAACACTAAATCCTAAAACCCCCAAACCCCCAAACCCCAAACCCCTAAACCCCAAAACTTAAAAAAAACCAAAACCCTGGAACCCTAAACCCCCGAAGCCCCTAAACCCCAAACCCCGAAAGCCCAAAAGCCTGAAACCCGAAACCCCCAAACCCCTAAATCCCAAACCCCTAGACCCTAAACCGAATCCCCGAAGAAAAGCCACGAAGCCGCGGGAGGCCGCAGTGTCGGCCTACCTGAAGCTGAGCGGGCCCGCAGCCTCAAGAGGATGAGGTTTAGGGTTCCTTTAAGGGCTCTTTGCTATAAGAAGTGAAGGGGGTATAGGGCTTTTAGGGTTCCAGCGTTCCAGGGTTTTGGGGTTCCAGCGTTCCAGGGTTTAGGGTTTAGGGTTCCAAGGTTTCAGGGTTTCGGGTTTAGGGTTCCAGGGTTCCAGGGTTTAGGGTTTTAGGGTTTAGGGTTAGTTAAGGGTTACTACCCACTGCTACCTACCACTAACTACTACTAACTTCGACTTACTACTACTAGGGTTCCAGGGTTTCAGGGTTTAGGGTATGGGGTTCTTGGGTTTCAGGGTTTAGGGATCCAGGCTTTCCCACTAACTACGACTAACTGCGACTTGGGCTTCAGGGTTAAGGGGATTTGTTGAGGATGTGTTTCGGCTTAAGGGCTTCCATGGGCGTTGAGGCTTTCGGGCTTCCACGCTTAATCGGTAGGGGGGGCCTTTAGTGGAGGAGATCGAGGGTTCAAGTAGGGGTTTCCATTTGGGTTTCCTTTCAGGGGTGTCTACAAGGGGTTTAGGGTTTGGGGTTTAGGGGCTAAGGTTCTATGAGGTTTGGGGACATGACTTGGACTTTGGTGTGTCAAGCTGGGATGTGGAGCTGCTATGGCTCAGGGGTCTGTGATTCAGATAATATCGGAATGACAGGCTGCGTCGGGTGTTCCCAAGGGTGTGGCGACCTGGTCAACTTCTGCCAAACCCCATCCTCGGGCTCGCTACACAGGCCTCGGGCAGTATAGTTACCCTACTTCTAACCCCAGTTGTAACTACCCCTGAACCTCCAAGTAGGCCCTAAACCCCAGACCCGTATAGAATCCCTGTAGATCCCTTTAAAGGGACCCTTATGACATCTTATCGCTATCCATGAACCTCCAAGCAGGCACCCGCCGTTTACCATGCTTCCGTCGAGGAAGCAGAGCCTGAATCCCAGAACCCACTACCCGAAGCTTTTACCTTCAAACGTCCATATGTCAGAAAATTACAGAACGTTATAGAACACCTTGGAGTGCTGTACTATGCCAAAAAAACACTTGGGCGTCGGAACAGTCTCGTCTATTCTCGCACGCAAGGTCTCTGTGCTACTACCACGACGAGGGCGAGGACATTTTACATACCTTTGGCTAGTAGGGAATGGAGGAATGGGGTACAATTCTAACTACCCTAAACCCTAAACCCTACTAATTCCCTACTACCCAAAGGATATCTTAGACGACAGCCGCTGGGTGGCTGAGATGTGCCTCTGGGAGCCTCGTCCGGGTCCTCTTTTCGCTTAGATCTGAGATCAAGATGCCAGAGTGGTCGCGAGAATCCTATGCTTGCATGTATATATTGTATATATACTGTATATATATATACATACATACATATACATCTATATATATACACATGATACAGATATCGATACAGATGTTGCAGATGTAGATTTAGATACAGGTGTAGATATACATATAGAGGTATGGATGAAGATCTATACCATATTGTCTTATATGGGATAGGCGTCACTTGTAGCAGCAGCCGCACGATCAGCAAGCAAGACAGCAGCAACCGAAGTAGTTGCCACGGGATGAACTGGTAGTGCTGCGGGAAGCACGGCCAGCAAGATCAGCCAGAACATAGTTGATAACTGCCAGCAGCTCCTAAATCAAAGCAGCAGCAGCTGGTGACATGGTGAAAGCCTCTCTTCTTGCCTCTTTTGATGACATTAGCACTACTAGTGCTATTAATATGACTATGACTATTTCCAGTATTGTTAAGGATTACTATTTCCATTATTGTTACTATTACTATTCTGTTCATCTGAGGCACCATGGGTGTATATGGGTGACCTGGAGTCAATGAACATGTCCGAGCTCCTCGCCCTGGACGCCGACGCCTTCTGCGCCACATTGTCGCAGAATTGGGACACGCAGCAGGCCGCCAGCATGTATGCCAAGCGCTTCCTGGCCGCCATGCATAAGCAGAAGATGCTGACGGACATTTTTGTGGACTACGACCATGACTTGGACTCCGAAGAGAGCGAGGTGGAGCAACCCCTGGTGGACTTGTCCCTGCTGCCTTTCCTACCAGCGTCCTGGAAACGGTTTTGTCTCCAGTTTTTGAGGAGAAAGCGTCCCAGCACCAGGCAGATCGCTCCCGAAGGGAGAGCCGTGAAGGGTAGAGCTCGGCCCTAAAGCAGCGCATTGTTTGCGCCTGGCTCTTCTTCTGATCCTACGAATTTTTCTCGTATACTCCCTGATATAGTTATATCAAAAGATATCCTGTTTGATGTAGTATCGCTTCTGATGTTACATACTTTATAAAGCCGAGGGTTCAAAGTGGGGTCTAGCTCTTCCCTTTCCAAAGACGCAGCTTTTGAAGGATGCTGTCTCCGGTACTTCTATGTGTTTAAGAAATGCCGCTTCGGAAAGGTGAACCAGGGATTCAGGTTTAGGGCTCCGCTGATCGACAGGCAAGCTCGCTGAAGATCGAAGACCTAAACCTTAATACCCCAAACGCCCAGCCCCAAGCCTCTACCTCAAACCCTAAAGTCCCAAAACCGCGGCCCTAAATCCGTCTCTGAAAACCTTTTATGGGCGGCTATGAACTTCGAGGCCTTTTCCGCCCAAAGACAACCGCCGTCAGAGCAGATGCCAGCAGGGGAAGTGTTGTTTTAAGGTTTGTGGGGGTTCAGGGTTGAGCGTTCAGAGTCGTTTTGAAATTCTATTTCATCGGTTACAAGCCTTAAACCCCAGACCCTAAACCTTAAACCCTAAACCTCAAACTATGCTGTCGCCTGTAACCTCACTGTCTGAGACATGGCATCTGCTCGGCTTCCGAGCCACCGCAGCGTTGAGGCTTAGCCCTGAACCCCAACGGCACGCTGAGGACCCAAAAAGGGACCCTAGTTTTGAAAAGCACCCACCTCTATAGGGTAATGTAGGAACATGATTAAGGAACCCTGGCCCTATAACCCCAATATAGTAGGTTTCAGAAAAGGAACCCCGTAGTGTATTATCATGAACATATACCATGTTACAGAACAGTCTAGCTGGAGGTTCATGGGTATTTATATGTGGGGTTATAAGTAGGGTAACTATATGTATGACCCATATTGGGGGACTTATAAGCCCGTTTGTGACTACTCATGAACCTCCAAGTATACGGGTACCATAAGGGTTCTGCTTACCATAACGGTTGCCATCAAGGCTAAGGAACCCGGAGGCGGGGCTTGTGAGGTATATTCTTGCCCACTGTTATGGGGATCACAAGCGGGGATTCTGCTTTGTTGTCTTGCATTCTGGCTTTCTCACGTGCATCTGCCTCAGAAACAGGAGTAGTTTACTGTATATAGGTGTTTGGCATGCAGCGTACATGTTGGGGTTCAGGGTTCAGAGCCGGCCGAATTTGCGCAGTGTTGGCTTTTCGTTTCCCCCATTCCGTGGTTGCAATTGCACCTACACGTCGGATACATTTCTCAAGCAGCTCCGTCGCGCGGAGTTTCTTTTTTATACCAGAGCTAAAGCTCGCAAACGGCTTGCAGTTCCGCCTTGCCGTGGGTTGAAAAAAGGCTAGCTCCGCCAGGCTGCGTGAGGTAGGTCCACAACCCTAAACCTGAAACCCCAAGCGGTAGCAGTCCTTTAAACGCCCTAAACCCTAAACTCCAAACCCAGCCCTAATGCGGCCCTTCAAGATGTTTTCCAGACGTCCGGTCTCCTTAGTGAGCAGTTCCAGTCTTGGGTTCAGGGATGTGTCATGATTAGGTATGTTCATGCTGCTACTACTATCACCACCTTTACATCTTCACTGTTATCAGTATGACCGTCTTGGTGATGTTAGCGCTATCAGTTTTATCAGTGTGATCATTGCTGCTAGTAGTAAGATTAAAAGTGCTACATTAATTGCAGCAGCTGTTGCATTTATCGCTGCTTAGTAAGCAGACGAGATGTGATCACACTTAAGCCAGGATGCAGGGCTTGACCACGATCATTCTGACGTTCTGTACAATCGTCTATTTCTGTAGTCATGCAAAGCAAGACGTCGTGCCCTAAAAACAAAAAAGCTCAAAGCCATAGACCCCAAATCCTAAGCCTAAGCCGCAACGTCAAAGCTCAAACCGTAAACCCAATGCTCTTCACTGGCAGCCTGCCAAAGCCATGTTGTAAATGAGTTGTACGCACACTGATCCCGGATCTTTGGAATCCAGAAGCCTCCAACTAGATCGTAACCCTGAAACTCAAACCCTGAACCCTAATTTTTGAATTCCTAAATCCTCATGCCTAAATTAAAACCCAGCGCCTTAAACATAAATCCCAAACCTGCTGAACCTCATGCCCTAGACTCTGTTCGCGAATCCGATCTGCTGGAGTCCTTCTTCCAGTCTCGTGCTGTAAGCAGTTTAGGGTTTAGGGTTTAGATTTCAGAGATTTAGGGTTTGGGGGTTTATTCTTTAGGGGTGCAGGGTTTAGGGGTAGTTGGGGAAGATGTGTACCGGTCGCCCTGTGTTTGTGCAGTCTTCCCAACGTGAACAGGCGTGGCTATGCCTTCTAGTTGGAGGTTCGTGGGTAGTTATAAGTTGGGTTATAAGTATACTTAGAACCCATATTAGGGGACTTATAACCCGACTTATAACTACCCCTGAACCTCCAAGTAAGGGGAGGTTCTCCTGTTCGCACGAAGGCGAGCGCATGCACATGAATCACTTTGAGTCAGTCTATGAGAATCGATAACTTTTTTACAGAAGCATGCGCAAAGCAGCAGACCCAGTTGATCAAATCAGTCCTTGGTGATTAGACTACAGTTTTTTTTCCGCAAGACTTTCTGAAGCCCACGAGGTCTCACCTCTTCGAACACGCCCTAAACCCTAAACCTTAACCCCTAAACCCTAAACCATAAACCTTAAACCCAAAACCCTAAACCTTAAACCCTAAACCCCAAACCCTAAACCTTAAACCCTAAACCCTAAAGGCCCAAACCCCACGGCAACCCTGCATCTTCGAAGGCTCGAGTCTCCCGCTTTAGGTGGCAGACAGAGAAAGAGTTGAGGCCCTGAAGGGATATTTAACTTTAGGAAGCAAGACTTCCCGCTGCTCTAGTTGAGCACTGGCGGTGTGGCTTGTTTGCAGTTGCGGCTTCTTGGGTTCTAGGGGGCTTTCAGTTGTTGAGAGGATTTCGGAATGGTGTCCCGAGCAAGGTCGTTCCAACTCGAAGGCTTGAAAGTTTGAAAGTTTGGATTGGAGGTTGAAGTTTGAAAGTTTCAAGTTTTGATTCTTTGAATGTTCGAAAAGTGCTGCAGTTCGAAAGTTTGCGCACCTTGCTATGCACAAGCTAGCCGGCGTCAAACTTCGAACTTCTCAAACTCGAAACTTTCAAACTTTCAATCCATCTATCTCTCGAACTTTCGAGCTCGACTGGCTGCATCGGGCTCAAACTTCAAACTGTTGCCGCGGCCGAGTTCGATCGGCCTTGAGAGTTTGAGACTTTCAAAGTTTGCACTTTCGAGGATTCGAAAGTTCGAAAGGTTGAAGTTTCGAAAGTTCGAAAACTCGCAAGTTTGAAGGTTTGGAGTTTGAAAGGTTGGCTTCAGATTCGATCTGCGGCTTGTGGTTGCGGTCGCGAGTTTGAGAGTTCGAAGGTTTCAAACTTCGAAAGGTTTCAAGCTCGAAGGTCTGAATGTTTCAGAGATCGAAAGTTGGAAAGGGATGAAAGTTCGAAAGATTGAAAGTTTGCCTAGTTTGAAGATTTGAAACGCGTCGAGATGGAAAGTTCGAAAGTCCGCCGAGTTTCGAGCTCGAAAGTTTGAGGGTTTGAAAGCTCGAAAGTTTGAGGCTTTGAAAGTTTGCAAGCTCGAGATTCAACAGATTCAGAGTTTGAAGGGCCGACATGCGGTCACGTGTATGGATGTTGTTCGCAAGCTCAGTTTTATATCTTAAACACGCCTTCTCTTTTGGTGATTCCGGTTCTCCGCTTCACCGTGTATTTTAAGCATCCACCCTCATTTGGCGATTCCGGCAACTCGTATAGCTTAAACACACCTCCATCAGTTGGCGATCTTAAACACACCCCCTTGCTTAGTGTTTTCGGTTGATCGTATTGCGCTTCCTCATTTGGTGCTTTCGGTTATCATGTAGCTGAAACACGCCTTCTCTTTTGGCGACCCCGGTTCACCGCATATCTCAAGCACGCCCCCTCATTTGGTGATTTCGGTTCGGCCTATTGGCCACTCTCGTGACTACGATGACAGTGTGCTTGCATGGCACACGCGTGTCAGAAAGCTGTTACTTGACCGCAGGTACCCTTGGTGCCTGCCGCTTGGTGTTTTTCCTTATGGTTGAATCCCGCCTGCCTTCGGTTTGCCGCTTCCCTCCGTAGGGTTGTTAGGTGTAAGCTTCCGTGGCCTAACTGGCCTTTTCTTTGCCTACTTCGTCGACGGTGAGTTCACAGAGTGGGACTTCATCGTCTATATATATATATATATATATCTATATCTATCACACATATCTTAGACACGCTCCCCCATTTGGCGGCTCCGAACATCATACCGGTTCGCCACATATCTTAAGCACACCGGCTCAGCAGGCAATAGTAGCAGTAGCAGTAGCAGTAGCAGTAGGAGTAGTAGTAGTAGTAGTAGTAGTAGTAGCAGTAGAAGTACAAGTAGTACAAGGTACAAGTAGTACAAGTAGTAGTCGTAGTAGTCGTCGTCGTAGTTTGTTTCTGGCATCGGCGTGTGTGCATTGGGAGATCACACAGGACAGGGGGAACGGTTCACGACGGGCATCGTCGTGTGTACGATGTCAGATATAGATCACACATCACAGTGGGCACAGTTTATTACTGGCATCGGCTTGTGTATGTTGCGAGATCACACATCACAGTGTGCACGATTTGTGACTGGCATCGGCCTGTGTATGTTGCGAGATCACACATCAGAGCGGGTACGATTTGTGACTGGCATCGGCCTGTGTATGTTGCGAGATCACACATCACTGGGGGTACGACTTGTTACTGGCATCAGCGTGTGCTTGTTGTAAGATCACATATCACAGGGGGCGCGGTTTGTTACCAGCATCGGCGTGTGCATGTTGGCGTCATCGGGCCCAGGTCCTAAAATGAGGACGTCAACATGGTTTCAAAGTCAAACCTTCAATGCATTGAATTATCAACTTCTTCCAACTTACAAACCTTCAAACTC